TGGCAAATCGTACCCAGACCACCGCTCGTTTAGAAAATGGCTAATGAGGGAGTTACTTCAGGACAAAAATAATTATACCAAAAAGTTGGAAATTGAAAGAAATCTAGAAATCTTTGACATGCTTTTGCTAATTTTTCCTTTTTTCAAACAAGATTAGAAATACCATCACTGAATGTCTGTGAAGAGTCTTCTTGAGACAGACAAAGTTTTTGGATTGCTACAAAGTAAATGGTTACAAGGATTAACAAGATCAAGGTCATGAAACCTAAGTTGACAGAATTAAAAAAGGTAAAGTCTGTTTAAGAGCCTAGTGGCCCATTAGGCCGGTGCTTAACTCCAGTTTCTGTAGCATGAAGCGACTAGGAGTATTTCTACTCCCTCTGGATGGGATACTAGTCCATCACAGGGTTACCCCCCCAGCATTAAATTTGCTGGTACCCATTTATATACCTGGGTGAAGAGAGGCACTGTGAGAGTAAAGTGTCTTGCCTAAGAACACAACATAATGTCCCGGCCGGGGCTCGAACCCGGACTACTCGATCTGGAGTCAAACGCACCAACCATGAGGCCACCGCGCCTCCACAAGTTGACAGTATTGGCCCCCCTTAATTCATTATACCAAACCCAATCTGGAGTGTAACATTTCAGAAAAATAGTAAGAGTAAAATTGTATCAAGGGTCTAAATGAAAAGAAAACTTACCAGGTTCCACCACCAGGAAAACCAAGACAGTAAAATATATTAAGTCCTATGTGAAGAAAGTAGATGAGAAAGAATATGATGTAGCTGAAGGAGCTGTCATTCCTGAAAGAAACAACAAGAACGAAAATACAGTTTACAGTTAACATTACACTACTAAAATGGAAACATGGCTTGTACAAGCACGGAGTGCACATGCGCATCAAGGGCTCCATTGCTTTTTTTCTGCTTTCAAAAATTACAGTAAGTTATTTCCCACAAAAATTCCTCCAGTCTTTTGAAACTTGATTTCTCAAAACAACTTACATTTGTGCGTTACTATAACTTTCACCCTTAACCTCCCCAAAATCTGACCGTTAATTCACCCCTCTAGCTGCTACACATTCCCTTATGAATTACTGTAGTTGCAATCATTTGGTGTTACAACATGGCTTTACAAAAGTGTGCGCTCCGATTGGCTCATACGCTCGATCCATTTGCCCATAGGTTGCACGCTGACGTCAGTTTGTTTTGCTTCTTTTTTTTTTCATGGCAACTTTTCCGTCAATGTTGCCACTACACACAACATAATTCCTGTTTTTTGCAGGTATTTTGCTCGTGAAATATGGACAAATTTTGTGATATTTCCGGAAATAAGGAAGATAATTCTTGTGGGCTGCCAAATTTCGAGCTCAAGGTTTTTGTCGGGTCTCCAGCTTAGAGTTTGAGATTGAGCGAGCAGGAACTTAATCAGCTGGTTGAACAATTAAATATTTATACACAAAACGAAAGATGTTTGAAAGTCTCAATGTTATAAAAGAAATGGTTACCGTGCAGCGTGCAACCATCGAGTTATGATGCACTTGGGAGGTTTGCTAAGCACTCAAGAGGCTAGAGTCGCACTCACCTCTTGCGCTTCTTTCGTGCTTAGCAACCTCCCGTGTGCATCCATAACTCGATGGTTGCACGCTGCACGCTAACCATTTCTTAATGGGATCCAGCTACATGTACATGTTCCTTATACCTGTGTGAATATCTCTGAGTCATAACTTGTTGGCAGGATAACAGTGTATGAAGACATTACATATACATCACCCACTGGAAGTCAACAGGTTCAATGGATCACCAAATTTAGACAATCACTTTGCTAACTCAATTTTCTTTAAATGTTATTGATTACCCCATCACATCTGCACTTACTTCAGAGCATTATAGCATGGTCGGTACCAACCAAGAAATGAAAAAGGAACATTTACAATTAGGTAGAGTATGGATAATCCAAAAGTTTCTCCCTCATGTACTTGGTCAGCACCCTTAACAAGCAAGGCAAATGCAGCAAGGAAGTTGAAAACCATTGTAAAACTGTACACTGAAAGAATAGCAGAACAAAAGAAATCAACATACAGGTAACACAAAAATAACATCACAGCAAAATAAAAAGCAATCGGTTTAAACCAATATTTTGAGACTCGCATCTACAAACTCAATGCAGACTACCATCTATTTTTAGAAAATTATTTAGTGCTGGGTCATTCCACAGTATTTTGCATATCACGGAGGGGACAATTCAGAGGAGAATATCATGGATAGCTCCCCAGCTTAACATAATTCAGTTCACTGAGGACTTCTAATGGATAGAACAGCTAATAATTGGTTTAAATCAAACTATTTCCAAACGACTTCTTCCACATTTGGGGGGAATTAGTCATTTATTTAGATTGTCACGGAGGGGACCAGAGAAACTATGAAAACTGAAAGTTAAAATTTAATCTCAGATTTCTGTGAATGTATAACGGCAGCAACAATAATTTAGTACATAGTTTATTTAGATGTTAATCAACGATACAACTGCCTTAAATGGAAAAGGCCTTACTCCTCTCTTACATTGTACAGGAACAGTAAGTGCTCGTGGTTATTGTCACGGAGGGGACTGTCACGGAGGGGACCTTTTGTCCAATAGGCAGCAGTGATCAATTTGAACCAATTTTCCAGCCTTAATATGAGTTTACAGCCCCCATTTAATTCAATTCTTTTAAAGATATTCTTTAAAGCTTGACCACATCAAAAAGGTTGGCTGTCGTACGTGTCGTCAAGCCTTTAAAGACATTTAATTTATGGTTGGAAAGTATTCTGGAAAGTTGTGTCATGCTATTTGTTCATATGATACAACACATTTCTTAAAAAAACCCTTCATGTGTTTCCTTTTTTAGTTTTTATTTGGAAACTTTAGGTTCATGTAAAGTACTCAAGATAACACCAATGGTTCAATAAGACCTGGTGCATACAAAAACATACAACACTTTTAAAACTCGCATGTATAACTAAAAATGTACGCAACTCAGATATTTCAAGGTTTTGTGTCTCTGTCTCTCTCTTTTAATAAAATGGCTTAAAACTGCATTGTAGACTGCAAATATGCATGCATGCATGATATGCAAGATGTAAATATAATAATTATATAAGCTGAATATTGCACAAAAGTGCCACAGATTCAGAGGTGATAACAACTTACAAGTGTTAATACTTGTATATGTACAGTTGTACAGCTAACTGTTGACAATATCCAGTTTATACTAAAGTAGTCTAAAATCCAGTACACTCTTAGTGAATAAACCTCCAAAAAGCTCAAATCTCATTTTCATAAATGCTGTAAAAGACAGCCAGTTATCATAGGCTTTCTTGTGCTCAGAATTAGTCCTGCTTTTTGAAAAACAGGTGCACTTTCTCAACTTCACCTTGCACTGAAAATGTAAATGGGCGATTGCCTTCCAGCATTACAGGACCATAAAAAATACCACTGCAATGTACCCTGTCCATGTCATCTCATCTTGGCCAGTCATAGGTGGCAGAGCTTATGCTGTGTTAGAACTTGAATTCTACAAAGCCATCTTCCACAGACAATGGTTTCACTTCTTACTTCATTTGATGGACAAGTTCAAAATACCATGTTTCTTATGAAAGGATACAATATGTTTATCTATGGTGGGATGATTTGGTTTTATAAACTGATTTGATAATATACAGTTGGCCACCGTAAAGCTGATGTTTTGGGCATTAGCACGTTATCCATAATTTGGTTACACATAAACATTAAACATAAGCACTTGCCTTGCCACCTGATGAAAACCATTTTACAAGTCCACTGATATTCAATGGGAATATCAATGCTGATATCATGAAAGAAACATGGCTTGCAAGGACACCGTTGTGGGAGAGGTGGGAAATTGTTTTCCCTATACCCTGTAAAACAAATAAAAAAAACAACAATGATATGCATTTTAATATCTTTCTCCTGATTGTTGCTGTACATGAAGAGGTATTACAGGTTGCTGAGTGCAATGCTACAATCCCATATAGCACTCCAAATTTAAGCTTAAGAAAATAAAACAGGGTACTTTCTAATACTTCACCAAAATAGTTTGGCATGGTCTGTCCTTCATTACTTTTTTATAACAACCCATTCAAAAAATGCACAGGAACATTTTCCAAGGTGTGGAAAGTTAATAAAGGTGTTTTGAGTAATGTGCACTACAGCAAGGCTGTGCTCTATGAAAACTTGAAGGGAGCCCAGTGCTCTGAAACTGTGAAATCCAGGGTGCCCAAGGCTGCAAATAACTAACAGGCAGTCACCAGTCACGTTGTCCAGTCGACATGCTTTTGCTCGGACACTACCCGTTTTTGGCTGGTCAAATTTTAACAGTCAGAACTCTTGCGATAGTGAACCCAGATTGCACAGGAATCCTTTTGCAACTAAAAAACAACTGAATCCAAGTTGGTCTGGCAATAAAAATTACAAGTTAACAATTAATTTTTACTACTCCTTACTACAGAAGCAGCCTCTTCAGATTAAATGATTTTGTTCAGTTCGTGCGTTCGAATTAAAAAAATCCTGTTATTGGCCAATTGCACTCGTGTTTACACACACTGAGTGACTGAGGATTTTTCCCTTTCACTCCCAAGATCTCATCGGTAATTCTCCTTACTGTCCACCATAGATTTCTGATGATGTTAGTGCTGAAAATTTGGTTTTGGATCTACCAATAATTTCCTAACTGATATTCTTCTAAATATTCTCCCCATATGTCTTCTTGGTATTGATTTGATATTGTAAGGAGAAATTCTGTTTTGGTCTTTTATGGGAGTTATTGTTTAAGTCTCTACCTCCAAATTGCATTCTTTGTAACTCTTGTTCTTTCCTTTGAAGCTCTGCCGCTTTACGTTCTAAATCCTGAAAAAAAAAGTTCACAAGCATTTCATTTTAGTTGCAATGATATGAATACATTTATTATAATATATATGCAGATAGATACAAGACCAATATAGCTGTAAATTGTTTTAGAGGGTTTATACAATATCTCAAGGCTGGAAAACTCAAAATGCTTGTTCATCTACTTTCAACTTATGACCTTTAACACTCAGAACCAAATATTTTTGCACCTTGCTAGGTAAATATCAAACACAAGCTACCAGTTTGGCAGCTTTCACTAAAAATCTAGTCATCAAAATGACTACCAAAACAGCCACAACTTGGAACACCCTCTAGCAACAAACTGTATATGCACACATGTAACACTGATGAAGACATCATACAAGTACCTCTTGCCTTTTCCTTAGATTTTCCTGTTCTTCTGCAATCTGTGCAAAATGTGTGCAGAAAATGGAATCAGAAATAATCACCTATTTATTATCTTTCATCTACTTCATTTAGATTAATGCGTTACATGGTAAACATTGCGTACCAAAATTTTTGCATTATCTCTGTTATGTCTATTTTGTTATTAATTTTGTGCATTAAGGGCAAAGGGAGACACGTCTGTGCACAAGCTATTGAGAAATAATGACAGAGCATGACTATTACAAATGTATTGTGTCTTCTGGAAGAGGAATGTTTCCTGTCAATTATCCCTTTTATGAGACAGTTTTGTTGGGCGCAAAGTTCACATAGGAGAAAATGTTTTCTTAGATAAGTGTATTTAGTAAAGTTTGCTAAGGCTCTCAGAGAATTTCTAAGTTAAAGTCCTGTTACTGTAGTGTATTTGGAGGTACGAGAATTAAATACTGAGGAAGTCTATACAATCTCTCCTTTTCAATCACCACCAGAGGGTGTTTTTGAGTGGGAGACACAATCACCACACCCAAAAATACAACTGGCTCCCAACTTACTCTGATTTCTGCTTCTAAAATAAAATACCATATTTATTCAACTATGAGCCAAACTTGGCTATAAGCTAAGACAGTAAACTTTGGTCTGTTTTAATCGGGAAGGTTCTTAAAACATGTAAATTGAAAATGCTCGGCTACAAGCCGAGACCATATTCAGAGAATTCCATTCTCAAATAAACTGAAATGAATGTAAACGTTTCAAAACAGAAAAGTGTTTCAATGGAGTATTGCCGTCAAAGACAATTCCGAGATGGCCAGAGAGCACATCATCAGTGAGCCTATGGTCTGCCACTGGAGGAAAGATCAAGAGAACCTCTTTGATGGAGAGCTCAAGATGTCAGTGAAACATACAACGATGGGCTATTACACTCCAAAATATCAGCAACTGGATGAGAGATTACTAGACTGGTTTACAGAGCAGAGAAGCCAAGGTAAGTTTTCTTTTTACGTGATCGCAAATTTCAACACCGTAATACATGACATGTTTGTTTACCAATCGTGGGAATAGGCAATTCTGATTGGTCAGTTTCGAAACCATCAAAACACTTTCACAAGATCTATAAACTCATTCAAACCCTGCAGAATCTTTAATGCTCTAAACAGCACAGAAGATAAAGCAATCTACTCAGAAGAAACAGCAAAACTAATGGATGAGGAGGAGATGGTCGACGAATTTGACAACACTGAGGACGAACAGTAAGCCATATTTACCATGCCCCCAAAAAAAGGCCTCCTTTAGAAGCCACCACATAAATAAAGGTTGATGACCAACTTCAACTTGTTTCATTATTTATTTCTGCATGCAATATCTCAGCTTGTAGATGAATATATATGTTTTCCTTGTATACCAAGTTTTCCTTGTATACCCCCTCCCAGTTAGCTCAATGGATTGAGCACTGGACTGTTGTGTGGGAGGTCAAGACTTCAAGCCCTGGCCGGACCAACACTAAGGGTCTTAAAATAATTGAGAACAATTTGCTACCTTTCTATAACATCAAGAAATGGTTAGATATTCTAGTCTTCTCGGATAGGGACGAATAAATGGAGGTCCCGTCTCCTACAGGGTTGGGGGTAGGAGACGTTGCATGTAATTTCCCACACACGAGATTACTGTGTGATGGATGTCCTCCCCTGGGTGGGATGGGTGGGTTTACTAGGCCCGCAGTGATTGGCGCAAGCTGTTGCAGTGTCCCTGCCTGTCGGCGAATCTAATAATTCATAAATCAAATCCTTTGAATTAACTGTTTCGGAAAAATTATGTTTGGAAAAAACACTCAGCTATAGGCCGAGAACCCTTCTCTAGCTCCAATTTTCGAGATTTTGGTAAAGTTTTGTGAAAAAACCACTTGTCTTATAGACAAATAAATATGGTATAACACATATTGCACATACCACGTAAGCAGGAGGTTCTTCTTTAGCTGGAAGCACAGCTGGCTGAGAAGGGGGAGCTGCTGCAGTTGGCTGGAGAGGAGGGGGTTGGACAGCTGGTGTTGTCTTAGGCTACAAAAAGGAAAAAGCAATGAACAGCACCATTAGAAAAAAGAAACCTTTGACCCACAAAGACAAAAACATAATATTATAGCAACATACAAGAGCTTGCTCAGGCAGTATTGCATTTTGCCTTGGTATACATGTACAAGAAAAGAAGTTTAAAGTGTTGAACAAAAAATTAACAACCAAAAATGCTATTTTCTGTTTGCTTTGTTCTCCTCTTTATTTTATTTTTTTTTTTTTTGACAACCTTTCTGTTATAGGTGGGCCAAATTTATTCCATGTTTTAAGTTTTCAAATTGATGAAACTGTTTTACCCAGGTTTGCTCAAGTTCTCAATTTTACTGACAGGTTTTTATAAATTTATGGCTACATATACATGTAGTACCCCATTGAAAAATATTCTTTATCTATATTGTTATGTTACAACAGGCAAATGCTTCAGTTTGTAAATATTATTAAGAGTGCTGCGTTTCAATGATATTCAGGAATCCCATCTGGCTTTTCTTGATTTCAGTTTAAAATCTTGTATGGTGATCGGATAGAAAACAAAATAAAGCTAATCACATGTAAAATGAAATCACAACAAAATTGCATATGTGCACAAGATATTTGGAACCAACAAAGACAACACTTTCAATCAAGTTACTCATATTTGCATCATGACCTAATGGTGATCTACTGTGGCTACCCTTTGACTGGTATTTCTGATCATGAACAAGGCTTTACATGGTTTTAATCAATGTTTTAAAAGAGAGCTGATAGAAGAAAACAAATGTAAAAAAACGAGCTCATAAATGTTAAATTAAGAGCAAACAAATTCTTGGGAGAATTTTCTGTCACAATTTAACTGCATCCTTGCGAATAATCAATTTGCTTCCTCGTTCTGCTGGATTTAAGACGACCTATCGTTTGGTCCATTAACTATTGAGGACTTATAATCAAAAGCTGGTATCCCTTGAGTCTGAACACGATAAATCACTATGTGAGACGACCAGCAACCGAGAATTTTAATAGCTATAGGCCTTTACTGAGTTCGTAGCTATATGCTTTTACATCGATACAAAATCGACACGTCGGGTTTATATCATTTCCTTCTCAACGCATAACGTAGTTTTCAAGCATTTAAAAATAGTAAAGCAAAGAGAACCAAACGATGCAAAACAAATTAAATAAAGGTTTTATAAACGCAAGCGTACTTGATCCCATATCAGCTTCTTTGCAGGAGGAAATTTTAAGGTAAACATGTCTGTTGAAGAGGTTTTCGCAAACATGAGGTTTAAGTGAGCATATTCCCCGCGTGGATTCTAACGTGAGAAATTTTGTTTCCCAACACCTTGGGCTGCTAAGGTTAGGAGCTGGAGTTCGTGATGTAAATTTGGCCACCAGGTATATCGCGACAAAACTTCAGTATAATCACATCTGTACAGGTTTACATGAAAACACATCAGTCTTCTAAAGAGACTTTAATTAGTCAACACTCATTCTCAGAAAAAGGAAAGGAGTCAATACAACTATTACCCTTAGTATTTTTGGGTGTTTTCCCTTGAATTCAAAGCCCTTCTAAAAAAAAATTATCAATATTCTGAGAAACTAAAGTGCTTTAAACAAAAATGCAACATGTAGCACTACTATGGAAATGAACAACCTTAGCGCCTGTTGGTTGCGAGTTGTTTGCGTCCGCAAATGGATTAAAATCTTCCAGTCCTCTAGAGGCATTGTTCGTAACTGAAGCTACCGATGGATCCTGTAAAGGTAAGGCATTCCAGGCACGTTAAAAGAATCAACTTCGACGTCTCAGAATCAAAATTTCCGAGATCACTACCGTCGGCGTGTAAACGAGTGTTCTTCTTGCATTGTGAAGCAAAAACAATCTTATTCACACAAGGAATACTTACAGCGAACGGATTTTCTGAGTCCCCAGCGAAGGGATTGTCCTCAAAACCTGCCATAGTCAAGCCTCCCCTGTGTTAAGGGAGCAAAAACAGCGACTGTAACCCTGCAATCCAACAATATGCACACAGTATTTCTACAAAAGTGAAAGAAACTTGCAACGAAAGTGCGCATGTGTACAATGGAAAACTGTCATGTGATTTAAAACGATGACGTAATCTGGAAAGTTGTTGCTAAAAATGGAACATATGCAAACATCGCTTAACCAGATGGGCTGGAAAAAAAAACCTTTCTCTAATTGAAAAGCTGTTTAAAATATTTTTTAGCAAAGTTTCACTGTCAGCAAGTTTCATCCCGCTATTTTTGACACTGACATGAATTCGCGAACAATATAACTTCTCCGATCTATTTATTATTTTTTTTTTTGTCATACTTATTGTTCGTTTCCATTATCTCTACCAGCCATGATTATATTCTGCTGTCATACTTCTGTCACGCGGCCATCAGCGAGAGCATCAAGAGAATTGTACGTGATTAATCCTCATGATCAGACAGAATCTACGAACAACAACAAAAATTGATATTTTAGACGTCCTCTTACGGCGGTGTGATTAGTTTTGTAAAGTAAAATCCTTCGCCTCTCATGTGGATAGGATCTTCTCCCACTTACGGATCTACGAAAGAAAACCTAAAAACTATTTCATATTTTTAAGGACGCTATATGAAATCTTACGTGAGGTGATGAGCCCTCATTTGAATTAGCACTGGCCTATGGATTGCTTAGGCATAGCCCTAAAAAAAGACTCCTTTTTGCAGGTACCAAGCCCCGTGGCATGTTTGGAATTAGAGGAGAATGGGTAGAGGGAAAAACTTCAAGTTACGCGTAATTTTCTCCGAAAATTAAAGAGCTCTCTTCCCTAGTACTTTCCCTCACTAAAATCCTAGCCTGTTTCCGTCATTTCTTTTTCAGGTATTGTCCTAGGAATCATTTTTGCTATCTTACTTATATAATCAAGTGAAAAAGTATGTGGCCTGTGTCAAAGACAAAGGAAAGGAAGACTGTGACGTCGTCCTTAATCCACCAAAGAAAAGCATGGATACCTAAGAAGATAACGAAGAATCAGGATTCCACTGGGAAAAAACACTACCTTTCCGCATTACATATAATGTACAACTGTATGCTCCAAAGAATTGTTGAAATGATTTTGTGCAAGTAACGAATTAACCGATTGATAACTTCCAATTCCCCCGAATGATCAGTCAAATTAGGGCATGTTTTTGTTTTGGTAGCTTTTCAGCCTCAGCCAAATTTTTATAAAAAGGCTAACGAAAACGACTGGAGCAGCGGCATTTTGATCAAAGTTCAGTTACAAACAGGAAAGAGAGCCCTCACATCGTAGCTTTTCGTTTTTCCTTGAAAACGCGTTTGCCGTGAGTTCATTACCAGTCCTTCGTACACGAAATTGTCCACGTTCCTACATCACCAACCTCCCCCGTCCCTATTAAAGTAGGAACCAAAAGGAAAGCAGATGACATCAACAAAAAGTTACCTATCTAGTCCACCAAAATAACGGTATATCCTCTTGGTTTTTTTTCTAACAAATATACCATGAAAGAAGGAGCCATAGCCGTTCTTTGCACCATTTCGTTCAAGTTCCACGTGCTACAAACTTCGGCTCGCGCGCGCCTTAACTTACTGAGCGCTCTAAGAAAACGGTCCAGTTGTTACGTCAGAAACAACAGTTCTCAGTGCAGAAGAAAATTTCGCTTGCTTTATGACCAGTGCAGTTGCTGAGTTAAGAAAAAAAAAAAGGAGCAAGAGTTTGCAAGTAAAAAGTCGTCGAATGCAAAACGTGTCCTTTCATTCACAACACTGAGAAAATATCGAGACCCAAACGATCCATTAAGATCACCGATCACTTCACGTGCACCTCCGCCAATGTAATCTATTGCATAACTTGCACTTATTGTAAAAAGATATACATCGGCGAAACAGGCAGAAGACTAGGTGACCGATTCCGAGAACACCTTTGCGACGTGGAAAGGAATGACAGGGACACATCGAAACCTGTCGCTGGACATTTTAAGTTACCTAATCATTCTAAGCAACACATGGCAATCTGCGGTCTTTCCTTACACTTAGGTAGCACGGAAAGCCGTAAAACTCTTGAACAAAAGCTCATCTTTCAAACCAGCAGTCTAAATCCCACAGGTAACAACGAACGCTTTTCATTCCACTAATTTATTCGTGTTTTTCTCTTTGCCATGTTCCCACCAATAACGTAGCTCCATTTTTTGCTTTTAAAAGCACACACAACCCACCATTCCTCTATTCGCTCCGACGAAGGGCTAACGCTCGAAACGTCAGCTTTTGTAATCGTTACGGTGGCCAATTTACCATTTCAACTTTGTTGATAAATCCAAATTATTTCGTTACCCCCACCGACGCAACCCTAAACAGTTTCTTTGGAAACTATCAGCCTTTATCTTTTTGTAGATTAACTCCAATTTTCAGTTGTCTTTCTATAGATTTTTGTGATTTGCTTGTGTTTTAATTGTTTTATACACATCTGGGTTGGTTTGCGTAACTATTATTTAAAATGATTTGAATATATCAACAAAGTTGAAATGGTAAATTGGCCACCGTTACGATTATAATAGCTGACGTTTCGACCGTTAGCCGTTCGTCGGAGCGAATAGGGGAATTGTGGGTTGTGTGTGCTTTTACAGGCAGAAAAAGGAGCTACGTGATTGGTGGGAACATGGCAACGAGAAAAACACGAATAAATTAGTGGAATGAAAAACGTTCGTTGATACCTGTGGGATTTAGAATGCCGGTTTGAAAGAAGAGCTTTTGTTCAAGAGTTTTCCGGCTCTCCGTGCTACCTAAGTGTAAGGAAAGACCGCAGATTGCCATGTGTTGGTTAGAATGGTTAGGTATATCAAAATGTCTAGCGACTGGTTTAGATGTGTCTTTAGAAACTATCAGCCTTTATTCATTATTATTCAAAATGTATTTGTGTCATTTGATATCTATCTAATACACAGTGTTTCACTTTCAAATTGTGGCTTTTTTCTGAAACTTAAATGGGTGGGGTTCTCTTGGTGAGGTACTTGGAATGGAGACTTTTCAATCAAAAGTAACTTCTTGTCAGAATAACTCTCATTTGGATAATGTTTGCTTCACAGAGCGAAAGAAAGAATTAAAAGGATGTAAAGAAAGTTAAAGAAAACTAGTTAAAATGCCCTTAAAACTGTTGTCTTTTTTAGTTATGCCTTGATTGGCTTCGACTTCATGTACATGTATCTGACTCAGTTTTCCTGTTTCGTTGACATGAACACATTGAAATTGCTCTGTACAAAATATTTAGAATGATTTTACTCTACGGAAAAACGACCATGGTGTTTGCAGGGACCCTCCACTTAACTCTTTGATCCCTGAGAGTGATTAACATCTAATTTCTCCTAACAATGTCACCCCTAAATAACACATTAATGTCACGAGAATAAATAAAATGATAACCAATTTAAGAAACTCCCGATTGTTAAAGTGTCTATACGGCCAACAGGGTTTTTACAGTTTTGGTATGTATTTAACATGTCAAAAGGTATTCTTCTTAAATAAAAATTGGATTCTGACGAGTCTTAGCCCTGAAATCGAGCTTTAAACTTCCCGATTTGGCCACGCCCATTGAAGGTGACCGTGAGTCGGGGCAAAAAAGAGATTGGGTTCAGAATGGGTCGTGACGTCAAGTCAGGAACGCGCCTAATCCCGCCAGTTGTTCATTTCACTTTTTTCTTTTTTTTTCAGTAAGGTAGAGTTTTTGGCGACATAAATATTCCCTATAGATGTGTTGTAAAAGTACTGCGTTTGTCAAGCAAAGTAACAAAACGACGCTCGAGACGCTCCTGGAGTGACGTCACTCAGCACCAATCTTCCCTTACGGGGTCAGCTTCATTGGGCTTGGCCGAAGCGGGAACTTTAAAGCTCGATTTTAGGGTGAAGAGGCGTCAGATTCAATTTTTTTTTTAGAATACTTTTTTACAGGTTAAAGAGATACCAAAACAATAAGAGTCCTTTTGGTCGTATGGACACTCTAAACTAATTCTTCTTGTCTGTACAATAAGAAATGTGAACAGCGTGAGGAATACGCATACTGATATCAGGGGGCAATGGGTTAACGAAAGAGAAAACTCAACAGCAAATTTTCCCTTGGAAACTGAAAGCGTTTTCCGTATGTTCATCACCAAACCTCAGTTTTAGAAACAGCGTCAAAGCTGAGACGCCAAACAATGATATCTTGACATTTTTATTTGTTACCTTGTAAATCGATTTATTCAAAATTTGTCTCGCGAAGCCTCGGGTGAAATATTAATAAAGACGATTTAAAGAGGAGGGAAACGAAATTTAAATAAAATCTGCGCACATTTCTCGCTTCCGTTGCAAAGAAATTGTCTCTTTGTTTGTTAACTCATTTCCTTTTACTTCATCTTTTGGAAAACAGTGCATTTGAGTTATTTACCAACTTATGCACGGGTGTCAAAAACGCTCTCAGCAACTGGAGGGCAACCATTTTTCGGGGTTATGTTGGTGTGTGAGTGTCTGAGTAGCCGACGGCGAAAGTATGCTCAGGAGCTGGAATTTTATCATTTGCGGTTTGTCAAGTTCAAGAAATCGTGTGATTGTCAAACAAAATTGTGCTGAAATCTTCAAATATTTATATATTCTTTCACAGTGCACACTAAAACAGAAACCTGATGTTTGGACAAAAAAGTTTGCCTTCGACATCTGCGCGATGTTACTTTTATCAGCCTCGGAAGGAAGAAAAAATTAGATATATGCGGTATTTTTATAGACATTTTTAAGTTTACTACGTACAGGCAAACCTGAAAGGCTATTTAATTTATACACCCACTCATAATTTGTTCCTATTGACTTTTTTATCCAAAGCGTTGATTAGTTGTCTCTGATTCTACTGTAGATAGAATCCTGCACGGGTTCTTAGATCAGCACGACATCAGGTGATGGCAGGTGAATTCAGTGTTACCATAATTGGTCCGAAACGCCTTCAGTTTTGTTCTTTATCTTTCAGTAAACGAATTCATTTGACAAATTTCCTGTTATGCATTGAGGAGAAGGTCACCACTCAGTGCACTGACGAACACAGATACATGAAAAATTCTCATTAATGAAACGAGAGAAGCTAATACATATGTGTTGAAAAATTATATAGAGGATCGATGGGACGGATGAAAAAAATTACTTTGTAAAGTCAAATAGGTATGCTGCACAAAGCTGTGTTTGTTTTCAAATGTCAATGAGACTGAAACAAGGTTTTCCCTTCTACAAAAATTCACTATTTTATTGTTTATCAGGAAATCATGCAATCGATATTTGACAACTCTGAATAGCAATCCTTAAAAAAATCTACGTATTCATTTCATTCAGAATTCAACGCAGAATTAGCTAAGGTTATATCAATCCTTAACCTCATTATGAGATTTTTCTTACTCTAAATAATAATAATCATAATGACAATTATAAACTATGCCACGGAGACATTGAAAAGATAAGACACCTGCTTGCGCGGGGCGGCTAGATCAAAATTTTTAGCGAGACAATAAACATCATTATTGCTTATCGGATCCTAAAACTTCGTTCCCACCAACAGCGCTAAGAAAAGTAGAAATGATTCCTGCTCGTTCAAGACCTTTTTGTTTTTAGTTACTTTACATTCACCTCCGACGCATTTCAGAAAAACTCTCAGCTGGTAAAGTAATCACTTATTCCAAATCACACGCGAGATGTGTGAAGTTCCCCGATGGGGGCTACACGGCCTAATTTAGCCACTAACTAAGTGGCTTGAATATTTGAGTACTTTATTTAATTAGATCGCTCCACATACAATTCTGCCAGAGCGGGAGACTTTACTCTTGCTGCAAAGCAAAGAGTTTGCACTTTTCAGCTCTAAGCTTTGCGTGCCTCGATTTTGAAACTGAAACCATGGCAGAGGTATCTACAGCGACTTATTGTTCAGTCGATAGCACAGAGCTGGACAGTTTTATGATTAAAAATCCTTCCACGGCTGCAATTCGAGGTGACTCTGATAACCAAGATGTCGACGTGGAGAATCAACGTTGCTGCAACAGTCAGAGGATCATCGTTGCTATTATCGTTCTTCTTGGAATAATGTGCTTGATAATTGGAATCGTTTTAATCTCGCTTGCCAACGATAAACACAGGGACGAATGCGATGAAAAACAGGAGAAAAGTCACCAAAAAAACCAAACTCAAAACGCAAACTCAGACGCGTGCGCGCCGTCAGAGGAAGCTGTGAGAGTGTCGCTTCACAAACTTCTCGAGAACATTCAGTTCGAATCTTACGTCTTAAACCCGAATTTGCTCTATTTCAAGCCAGGTAAGACGCCCGAGGAAATCCGTCGTAATTTCAAACCCTACGATCCGACACCTTCCGAGATCAAACGAAGAACAGACGGAGCTTGGCGATTGCTTACGGAGATCAATGAGACAGATATCGACTTAGCCAAACTGAAGCCACGAGAGAGAAAAGCAGTATCACAAGTGAAATTCTATCTTCGGCACGTCTTCGGACATCCTTACGACGGAAATTACTATTCGGGTGATTGGATGTTAGGTCCGAATTTCTTCTGTTGGCAGCCGATCTGCATGCTGGGAAACGAAATTTCCGGTAATTTGCAGCATTTTGCACCAAGAAATTTAAGCGATATGGAAGTCATTCGGAACATTTTGAAGGCTTACAATAAATCGATTAGTCAATACACCCAAAATGTAAAACTTGGAGTAACGACCGGCATGATTGGTTCGATTGAAGAGTGTCGAGCGGGGATTGATTCCTTGAAGGAACATTTCAGCCATATTTACATTCAGAAAGAAGGTATGTCTCTATTAGCGCGCAACTGGTTTCACCAGCTTGTATAAATGCGTGTGTGTATTCTCTTTTTATCTAAATAGTTGCTAAATATTAAAAACTCGTAATTGGTATGATTTCGAAAACGTGGCAGTTTCGAGTTCCAAACAAATTTTACTCACGTTACATTATCACTATAAATTTTAATTCACGTTACCGAAATTTCTGCGGCTTCTTTGAGTACATGCGCGGATAAACATTAATCGGAGTGAATGCGTCACTTCTTTGTCATTCTGAGCTGAAATCAGTTGATTAAACCGTAGGAGTCGGCACGTAAACGGTTAAGTCCGATATCGTAAGTAAAAGGTACTGACACACTGAAAAAAATCGATATAGTGTTCCTCAGACAGACCGATTTCAGACGCTATATTTTTGAGCGCTGTTAGGACGGTGTGACTGTCAAGCTTCCTATGTTACACTTTTTACTGCGTTTCGGCATCTCTTGAGGACTTTAAAAAAGTCGTATGATTGATTTCTTTCAATTTGTAATTTTAAGAACCCTACTGGCAGTTTCTCACAAAGATAAGCGTGACCCTCTAAACGCATGCTGGGATGCTCTCTAAGCTTACCGTGGAATATTTATGCCATTTTCTATAATCTGGTACGAATAAGCTCTACCAATTTGATTGACACTGCACGACGCCATCCGAATTTGAGACTGAAAGACAACTGAAATTAGTTAAGGGAAGATTTTTTTTCTTTTGTTAAGATCTGCAAAAGCCTACAATTTCAGAATCATTCAATGTAACAAACGGAATTGTTCACAGCAGTTAAACAGAAAAAAAGATAAGGAATATAATAGCCATACTTTATTTATAAGCGTCACTTAAACCAGCGTCTTGTTAATGTAAACTAAAATCGTTAAATTGTAAGTTTGCATCAAACTCTCTCAATAACGGGAAGTTGTTTTGCTGATAAACTCACGCCATCAAGGTTTGTATAAAATAACATTTATTCGCGTTCAAAACAATGTAAGAAAAGTCTCTTTGTAAAATTGTTTAAAGGATTAAAAAAGGCAAATTAAATTTGCTACTGAATTTTAAACGAATCAATCAAAGTTGAAAAAATGATTTGAAAACAGATTTTGAAAGTTACCAATTTTACATTGTATTCATTTTGCTTTACAACACTCTCCCATTGGTCATTACTAAAAACCGGCCTTACTCAATTTTTAAACCAATTAGAATCAGCCATAAAACCATTTGTAACTAAGTTCTCCGGCGCAGTTCAGTTTTTGTTCTCAATGGTTTCCTGTGATGTTTTTCCTTATTGCTGATTGGCCGCTAAATTTTGTTCCTGCGACACTCCATCAAAGGCGGTCTACATGTCGATGAAATTATATGGTTTTATCAAATGAGTTCAGAATGTTAAAGAGTTTCTAAAACTCACATTTTAAACGTTAGCCCTCGTCTCGATTAGTACTTTTAAAATTCTTCTATAAGATATCACCACGGTCTTAATAATCCCATAGGAATTAAAAAGAGAATATTTAATCAAAATAAAACTTCAGGTCACGGAAAAATTAAAAAGTAGTTTTGAATGAGCCATGCACGTGCAAGGGTTTGATAAGAAAGGAGAAGATCTTATATACATATGTTTTTTTCCACCAGGAGTGTTAAAAGAACTGTTTGTGCAAAAGCTGCTTCATTCCTCCTTCTACGGAGGATTGACAAAGGAAATGAGGGATGAATGGAAGAAACGCACAGGAAAGACGGTGGAGAGCTCCATGGAGGAATTCTTGATTCAATTTTTCGGTGCACCAATGAATGGATTATTCAGGTAAATAATGCTGAGTAGACATGCAAAATAGCCAAAGAAAATCTCGGTGAATTCCCAAATTAAGGATGCATATTGAAACATGCCCCTTCATGTGAGAGAAGGAGAAGTGGAAGATTAGCTGTTTCACCTCCGAGATCTCCCTTGGTCATTCTCTTTATAAATTTCTTATGATGTAATTCGAGAGAATCTCGTTTTTATCAACTAATGAACCCCTGACCGTTTTTTTTTTTTTTTTATCATTCACATACTTTTTCTGCTTGATATTTTATTGATACTGTAGGAAGAAACTCTTTGTTAATCGCTCATGGTTTCGAGCCCTGAACTTTCGGGTCACGAGGGCTACGCTCTAATTTTAGGGCCTAAAATGGATCATTGTGTCGTGTTGTTGGGTAAAATGCTTAAAACTCTCACACCCAGGGGTACAAATGGGAGTCGGAAATTGCAAGCTATCAGAAAAAGACGGATTTCTTTGGTAACCAGCTGTGCTGCCTGAGAAACCCAGCCTAGAAGAGCAGCGGCACTCTTTTGTCATATCATCAAATCATAATAAAGCGACTTAATAATATTGCTTCTTCCTATTTTTGAGAGCCACCTGTATCTGTCACCTGCGAAAAAAGATAATAATCATTAGTAAGAAAGACGTGTTTTGCCAGACAGGAACACAAAACATAAACCCGCTGAGAACTTGATCGCAGACCAAGGAATGCAAATTTTACATCTCGATGCGAATGAGAATGTAATTCCTTACTTGAGAAAACGCATTTTTTAAGGAATAGGCAAACGCAAAATCGGAGCATCTCTTACTTGGATTGTTAATTTTCAGGTATCTGGAAAACGAGCACATGCAACATTGTGTTCCAAGCAACATTTCCAGCGGTTTTTTTAACCGCCCCTTGAAATACGTGTACATAAACGGCACACCGGATATGTCACAGCCGACCGTGAGGAACCTGAGCACGGGAGAGATCCTCAACGGGCCACAGACTTATACCAGCATTTTGTCCTATTTCATCACGACTGACATGACCCCTGACGAAGTGTACAAGAAGGGATGGGAAATGGTCAATCAAACCTATCCCCAGGTACTTAAGAACGAATTTGTATTTTCTGTTCGAAACAAGATCTTCCATCAGAATTGGCCTTGGCCACTGCAGGGTTTGTTTTGACACTATTTAGACAAATTGAACGGGATTTTTAGGTTATTTTCTTTATATTCGGGTGGAATTATTATATTGACGACGCTAACTATTTGGAAATAGCTTAAGCGAGAGTTATTTAGGACTAGGTTTTCCTTAGGTATTTACCCAACCATGACAACTACTGGTCGCCTAACAACTTGGGACTGGTTCTGCTCTTTAGTTAGTACTAGATCTTTTGTCTGGTACTCACGCAGCTCAGCTCAACGAAACGAGTTCTCCATAAGCCCCATTTTAACTTGCAGCTTATATTTTTGCTGTCATGTAGATCCTTGCACTTGCGAGAAACCTTACGGGAAAAAAAAGAGACTCAGATGCCACAGTAGTGGAGGAATTCAAAAAAAGAATAACAGCTCAAGACATGTTCTACAACCAAGAACCATTACCAGCCAACGAGAGCAACCAGTTGGCATTTGAACGTTGCAGTACGATCGAAGGAGCCAAAGAATTTTGTCCCAAAAGATGGGAAGCCCTGCAAAATTGGTTCAAAGCCTCTAGGGAGGTAATTAATACAACGTCTAACTGTACTGGTGGCGCAACTGACGTAAATGTTAATTTTCAACAATTAAGTTTAATCTGTTATGGAGATGAAAATTTACCTTATTCTGTTTCTATTTCCTTTTGTGATCCTCGCAGTAAAGAATAACAGATCTACCAGTTAAGTTGGCTTGAATTTTCTCAGGGTGGTAAAGACAATTTTCGAGTTTCCCTCGACTCCGCGACTGTGTAGTGAGAGCCTAAAAAACCAGGACAAATGTGTTGGCTCTCACGTGTTTCAAGGGAAATTTTAATGTCTGAGCTCCTTCCTGTGCCTCTTTTCTTTTTCCTTTCTTTTTTTTTTTTTTCTTTTTTGCACATTTCTCTTTGAGTTTTCGCAGTATCAACTAATTTCTTAGAACTAAAGACAGATTCCGATTGTATAAAAATCCTAACTTACGAAAACGCTCGTATGCCTCAAAATCTGAAAAATGCAACGTATCTTAATGGAAGTTTACTTTTCTGTATTTCTTCATATTACCTTGTTTTTAAAATTCTAATATTTTCATTTCTATTTTCCGAAGGCTATGAGTTTCTTAGAACCAAAAACAGTCAATATGTTTCATTTCACTGGTGCCAAGCAGACCACGCCAAGCTGTCCCGTTCAACTCGCCCCAGACTTCAATCCTTCCTCGGCCGCGCAAAGCTACACAAACAGTGATGCAGATTGTTCAAGGAACTGCAGGTGAGGCAGAGGAACTACTATCAAATGGTCAACAAAGTAAAGTTTCCGGAGGTTCCTTTATTTTGAATGATACCGCTGACCTTCCTTATTAAGCTACTTGAACTTTTGTAGGTACCAAGTTCCGTTTTTTCTCGAAAACATGGGTCCAGTCTTCAGTGAATGGAGTGTCAATGCTCACGAGGCGAGACCTGGACACCACACTCAGGTAGGTGCATGATTACAGTAGTCCCTGACAGTACAAGGGTAAGGATTTGAAGGTAAAATTGTTTGGTATTTAGTTCCCTCCAGGGATGAAAAAAAAAAAAAGTATCTGGCCAGATCGAGTCTGTGCGTTGTACTCTTGAGCAGGTGGCTTTACTCTTGCATTGCTTGTTACTAAAGTTTGTAGGATTGAATACTGCAACCGGTTAATGGTCACGAATACCTGAGTAAATTCTCAGGGGGATGGGGGGAGGGGAGACGCCCTTACAATGAGCTGATATCCTATCCGGGGGATCAGGGGGAGCCTCGCAACCGCCTCATTCTACTGAAACTGGGATTAGTGGGATAAAGTAAGAGGAAATGTTTTGGTTTGTCAGCTGACCTTACATTATGAGGCTTGTTATCGATATATCTTATAAATTTCAATTCCTGTCTTTAAAAGGCTCAAGGTTTTGTTGAACATTTCACGGACAAATGTGGCGGTGTGATAGGCTGGGTGAACCAGATCTCCCAGTCCATGGCATTTGTGGAGGGCTGGGGACTATATGCTGAGATACTTATAGCTGAAGATACTGATTCGTACGATAATAAGCCGTGGCAGAGATACGGAGCCCTGAAATGGAGAGTAAGTTGACTGTTGTCAATACTTGACACAAAGGACGCCTGATCAGAGTTTGCACATTGAAAATGGTGCTTTATTCAATAGAGGTTTTGCACAGCAGCCATGTCGGATGGCAGGAACATTGAAAATATTTTGCATAAGAAAGAAATTTTTTCCCATGGGAAAAATAATCTATTGTTCCTGCCATCCAACATGGCTGCTGTGCAAAACCTCTTTATGGCTTAGCTGATACTAAGCAGAGAGCTAGATCAACGTTTTCTTTAAACTTAAAATTTGATGGCGAGCTGTAAGGGTTTATTTTGTTAACCTCGCAAAATTTTGTCCGCAAAATAAATATTTAGAGCCGGATCGTTTTCCTATGCACAACAACGAATAGTCGCCGTCGGAGACTTGAATTGAGCAATCGCTTGAGGGTACAATTATCCTCCAGGGTTTTCAAGGATATACTACATGTAGTAAATTTTTGGTGATCTTACCTATGAAAATAGTGAGTTTCATGGTATTTTGTTCGTTTTCCAAGGGTCTTCGTAGGACGAAATATACTCAAACTTTCGTGCACGCCGTTGTCACAGCTTCGCATGGTCTCGTACCCAGACCTGCAACAGCTAACAATATCAGTTAAACGGAAGGGTCTGGGGATGAGATTAGGCTTCGCATTATCATTGCTATATTTCTTTTTTACCTTTAGCTGTGGCGGGCGCTCCGTCTTGTTCTCGACGTAGGTCTCCATAGTAAAAGTATGACTCGCCGGGAGGGATTGGATCTATTGGCCAATTACGCCTGGGACACCTCAGATATTGCGAGCAAAGAAATGACTCGATACCAGTCTGGCCCAGGTCAGGCTAGTGCGTACATGATCGGTCAGTTGATGATTCAGAAGTTAAGGGACTACGCAGAGATGAAGTTACAGGAAAAGTTTGACCTAAAGGAGTTTCATTACCAGGTAAAATGTAATCGTAGAGTCTAGAACTAAATACGTTGCCTTTGAGACTTTCGATGTTATATGATTGGCTTATACCATTTTATATTTGTGTGAAACCGTTAAATTGCACTTTTTTTTTTTGGACACCAAGAAAAACTCACAAACCTTGTTTTGATTTTTAGATTCTAAACCAAGGCTCTGCGCCGCTGAGCTTCCTCGAGAGTCACATCACACAGTATATTGCCTGCAAGTTAGACAATAAATCTCCCGGATGCAAACTCATCTTGCAGCCAATAAGCGTTGAGGTAAAAACGAAGCGAAAAAGCCATGCTGAGAACCAACTTTCCTCAGAATATTCTGGCTATTTCAACCGGCCTTTTCCGAGGAGGCTTTATGTATGATGAACTAGCGCAATTTTAGCATAATTAGTATTTCTAGTTAGTAATGATGGCCCTGCTTTGAGTTTGAAAAGGAATTCCAATCAACAAGAAGTCGAGGTCATAAGTAGAAGCTTTCATTGGCAGCACCCTAAAGGATCATTAGGTGCATTTGAATTTTTTTCCTAATTCCCAAATTTTTTCACACAATTTTGAAAATAGTGCATGTATCCGAACTCACTTTTATATGTTGTTAATAACTTTCGTTATCTAATATATACATATTCAGTAACTCCATTAGCAGTTCAACCACGTGTCTCGTGTTACATGGAAAACTTCAGAGAATTTGTTTCGTAATTGGGTTATCGAGTCGGGAAATTCATATCAATCCATTCTTTAAAAAAGAGCATTGAGTTTTTACCAAGCCATTGTTAGGCAACGAACCAATTGGACTATAACTTAAAGCATTAATGCCTAGCTTGCTTTACTCTACTTTTCTTAATAAACTGCTCGTGTGCTGCAACTTGCTAAAAATTTAGAAAAAACGTTTGTTATAAACTAGGATGGGAGTATTTAAGATATTTCGGTAATAAGAGTGTAATCAAAATCAAAACTAGGTTTTCTTGAACAATTGACAAGTTTGACAACTTTGTAATCAAATAAAATATGAGTGGGTGTATGTTTTCGAGTTCTGGTTACATCCTTGTTTCCCTGTAGCGCTGACAACGTAAACTGCTTCGCTTTTAGGCTTCTGCTTTTCTGCTTCTCTTTAACAAAGTTCTCGTTACAGGATCGGCTATTTATCTTGTTCCACCAATAACTTGTCACCCGGCCTCCCTTCTTTCTTCGGGTACAGCGCAAATGGCGCCATAGACCTGTTGCACTCCAGCTGTAGTGAACTGAAATAAAGAAAAGAGCGGCCTGTTCCTCGCTGTTGGGCCTTAAATAGTTGAGGTCTGCTGTGTAGGCCAAGATTATCCACGTGCTAATGAGGATCCTCGCACAATATCAAAATGAGCCTTCTATTACTGGCAGTTGACTTAAGTAACCTGTTATCACACTGTTTTATTTATCCTCGTAAGTGTTGCTAGTCGGAAACTTAAAAAAAATTGATAAACTGAACGAAATTTAGATGAGACATAACACAGTTACATGTGGGAACCGGCAAGAGGCAAACTAGATGGCTTTTCAGGCGTGGCCTAAAACTCAGCGAACTCGGAATATCCGAGCCAAGGGGTCAGTCTTAAAAAGCATGACGAATATTTCGAACAGCGCACTTTCAATGTGTTTATGCGATCGAGGCGGAAATCTGAGCCGCTAATCAGTGCATATCTGAGAGGAAAAAATTTCTAGGGACTTTGGACTAGTTTTCTTTAACTTTCCTTACTTGTTTGATAATATTTATTCCGCTCCTTGTAGCTTAACTATTCAAGCAACAGTTTTTCTGTCAAGAAGTTACTTTTGATCACGCAAAGTCTCAATCATGTCAGGTAACTCACCAAGAGATCCATATTTTACTTCACAAACATACAGACAGAAAACAAAACAACTATAGTTTCAAGTGCCATATAACATTTCCTTGCTTTGAAATAAGATGGTAATTGAACAGGAAGAAGATCTTTTGCAGGCTGTTCACGTTTCAGAAGAAGTATGGCTGTGTTACTTTAAACAGTCCGTACGCTGCAACAGCGTCTAAGAAAAAAGCGCATCCAATCTTGATATATCGACGAGCTTGACCTCCTGTTGTAGATAGTAAGGTCGTTCGCGCAGCTTCAGGTATTTTCTGTTTTGCTGGTTTCAAATCTTCTCCCTTCGCTTTCTTCATCTTTTCATTCATGTCTGTTAGAGCTGAGAACAGCCTGGCGTGTATGTGTGCATCACTCTTCGCAATCTCTTTTTCTGCCTTGGCTTTCAACTGGAATCTTTTCATATCCTCCTTTGCCTGCTTGCACAGATCTTCAACATTGTCCAAATCATCAAAGTACTTGTCGCATCGTTTTTCAAGTTCATAGAATTGTCTTCGCACTTTTTCGATCGCGCTTTCCTTCTCATCGGTTGGATAACGTACTCTTGTCACAAAACTTTTGCTAGCAACTGAAGCCATTTCGAGTCCTTTTTACTTGCAAACTCCGCTCTTTGTTTGTAGCTCAGCAACTGTTCTAGTCGGAACGCAAGCGAAGTTTTCTTCTGCTTGTTGTAAGTGACATAACAATCGAGACGTTTTCTAAGCGTGCGCTCAGTAAGTTGAAGCGCGCGCACGCGCTTTGCAGCACAAGGAATAACGAAAAGAATCAAAGAGGACAGACTATGAATCCTCTTTGAGGAATTTTATGAGAAGAAAAATTAAAGAGCTTTAATACCATTTTAGTGATCGACATAAGAAATTATTGTTGTTGTTATTTGTTTTATTTGTTTCCTTCTTTAAGCGGAGAGTCCCTACAAACCACACGATCGTATTTTTTGGCGTAGATTAAATCAGTGACTGACACATCATGCTTCTGTGAAGAATGAAGATATATCGACAGTAATCAAAAATAACAGTGACAACGATGATTATTGATGCAGCAAAACTTATTGGGGTAGTACATCGAGGAAGCGAAATAAAAAAAAATATGGCAACAACTGCTTGGTTATTAGGTCGATATATATTTTTTTTTGTTTGGTTTTTTTTCCGTCCAGTCTTTTTATTGCAGTGTGGTACGCCTTAGAATATTTTTCTTTTCAAGCATAATGCCTGTAGGCCTCGAAGGACTGCAAATTCTTGGCAGACTTTTCATCGTTACTCTTCGGTTTTCCTCTTTTGGGCGGGTTCAGGATTTCGGAACAGCCTTCCTTCTTGGGCTCGTTTACGCATTCGGCATAATTTTCGATGTGTTCTTGAAGAAAGGCGAGCGGTGAAGAACCTTGGCTCAATACCTGAGAAGTAAGTTTAGACAATTTTAACTAAACACAAAACGATAAGAGAAAATCAAATTATCAGACGAAAAAAAGAAACGCATTTTGCTGCCACAACCAACTAGGAAAATGAGTCAATTGAAGATACTTTTTTCTCTCCTTCACTCAAAGAGGAGAAATCATAAATCATAAATCAAATTATTTTTATTTTGTTATTCACCTGGTAGTGGAAGTCTTTGAGATTGAATTTTTAACCCAAAGCATTTTCCGTATAATTTCTGTTTTTCACAAGGGCTATCCTGCCAACCATATACGCGGTGGACTGGCCTGGCCAGCTCTGATAACGAGTTACCTGTTACATAGAAGAAATAAGGTCATGAAAGTCTAGTAACGCATTTTTTGCAATAGCATATCAAAATATTTACTGGATGACGACCACAACGTGTGTGGCAGACAGTTTCTTTAATAAGTGTCTAAATCTGTTTCATACTCTTGGGTTGGTGAGGAGAATGTACAGTTCAAGTGTTTTACACAATAACAACAATGCAATGTCCCTGGCCAGTGTTCGAAGTGAATTTTCCGCGCATTCGCTTAGTCGTGGGACGTCTTGGTGTCTCTGACTACAGTGAGGAAAATTATGAAGATTCCAGACCACACCCGAATCTCAGTTCACCTTGGCTGCTAATAACGCCGATCTGAAAGGACTCAACTGAGATCTCCTGTTTATTTCTAAGCATCACGGGATAGCATCAGACCCTGAATACATTACAAAGAACTTTGGAGAAACAGAATAGAGAATACAAGAGCCAGCAGAGGGAAATTTCAAGAGTATACAATACAATACAATACAATANACAGTAATCTCGTGCTTGGGAAATTAACGTCTCCTACCCCTAACCCTGCAGGAGACGGGACCTCCATTTATTCGTCCCTATCCGTGAAGACTAGAATATCTAAACCATTTCTTGATGTTATAGAAAGGCAGCAAATTCTTCTCAATTATTTTAAGACCTTGAGTGCTGGTCCGGCCGGGGCTCGAACCCTCGACATCCCGCACAACAGTCCAGCGTTCTATCCATTGAGCCAACCGGGAGGCGGTTAGCTCAATGGAGAGTAGTATACACTATACCACATACTTTTACCTTAGAGACATTGATACTCTTCTTACCTCTTTACGGGTGAAGTCAGAGTCATCCCAGGCCTTATCGACGAATAACTTGATAGCTTCATCTCTTTTCATTCCTGTGTAATGGAGCCCTGTGTCTACAATCATTCGCACTGCTCGCCATATCTGAAAACGCAGATACGTTAGTATCGACACCTTTGAGAAGCTACTTTTCATCTTTTGGATTTTTTATTTGCTAGGAGCAATATGTGAGAAAAAATCCCTTAGAGGCTAAAACGAGAAGGAACGAGAAGGAACTCGAATCCAGGGTACTGTGATGGCAGACAAGCGCTCTTATCGGTATGCCATCTCAACTTTACCATTTTATTCTTTTCTTAATTTAATATCATTATTGCTCACCTGCCATTTCAGCATGCCGTACTTTTTTAATGGTCTTCCATCGTAAACATCAGTTTCGTCTGATATTAATGGATTCTCGCAATAAAGAGCCCATCCTTCTAAAAACGCCGTGTAATATGTCTTCGAGCTTAACCAACCAATTGGACCTCCACAGGTGTCCTTAAAGTGCTCACTACTCCCTTGGATCTACAACAGCAAACATTATAGGTGATATCTGAGATAAGAAGAATTGTCCAGAGGAAAGTCGAATTGCAGGAATTTCAAAAATAAACAAAACAACTCGACTTTCTAAAAATTAGCTTTAGCTGTGGCACATCAGCGAGGTAGCTTTTCTTAAACTGTTTCCACTCTTCAAATTGCATCTTGAAGTATTAGATTGTGGGAAGGGAGATAAGTAGGATAGTTCGGAGAAAAAACTTTTGGAGCAGACGAGATCGAACATTACCTCAAATGACTCGGGAATCGAATTCAGGTCACAGCGAAAACACCGTTCCTACATTTTGATGTTAGACTTTCGAACCAAGCCGTCTCATAAGAGTTAAAAATAGTCAGAGCGTTTAAAAACGCATACCGATTTTTGCAACCTCGTTCCCAGGGCCTTTCCCCTTAGCTAGGGGTGGGGCGGGAAAAGGGGGCCTTTTCCCGCCCCACCCCCAACTCCACCTCCAACTAAGGGAAAAGGCCCTGGGAACGAAGTTGTGATTTTTGGTAAAGCCAAAAAAAAATGGTACCTAATTACCAATATACCCCTGTTTTAACAAATCTCGTGTTCGGAAAGTTGCGACTTTCCCTTCCTTTTTCTGTGCCCTCCCAACTCTCCAATAGTGTCACATTGTAAGTTAATTTGGTTACAAAGGCATGGCTTAGATAAGGCAACAACAAACGTTAAATATGAAATTTTCACCTGGATATGGTGACCTGGACGAGCCTCGTGAGCATTAACACTCCACTCAGAAAACCTTGGCCCCAGTCTATCCAGGAAGAAAGGAATGTTGTAATGGGCAGGCTCGGTGCACATTGTATCACTTCCGTCGTAGCTCTGTATGCCGCTGGAAGGATTCAGGTCTGGTCTCAGTTCTATGGGACAGTTGGGTGTCGAGTGTTTGTCCCCAGCGAAGTAAAACATGTCGGTAATTTTGGGGTATAGCATACTCATAACCTAATTAAACAAGAGAATGATCATGTTGAAAAAGGTAATCATAAAGAACAATCAGAAAAAAAGACATAATTTCATTCAGAACCAGTCAGGCCTAAAGGTAAGAACGAGTAAATTGCCTCGAATGAGAGACCTATGGTGATATCAAAGCAAATGGGATTTTATTCCAGTGACTAAAATCAATATCAGAGACAATTGTCAGAGAATTGAAATGATAAAGTTGATAGAAAGGAAAATTTAAAAACAAGGAATTATGGCTAAGAATAAAAGATAACCAATCAGTTTATAATTTTAGACCGATTGTACAACGTTGTTCCTTATTTGATGGTTATTTCCTTTACATTTCATTAAACTTCCTGCTTTTACCAGCGAAAATCACCAGCGTACTAGCCCTTTCGTTCGAAGCCTAAGCTTAATTTACTAGAAATAATCAAACTTAACTTCAACATTGGCTGCAAACAAATGAAAAAGTACGAATCAGTTCATACCGATCTGGCCTCGGTAAACCATTTTTCAAGGGCTTCCCATCTGGTTGGACAATATTTCTTTGCACCCTCAATATTGCTGCATTTTTCGTGCGCATCGTCATTAGATTCGTTTGCAGGAAAGGTTTCATCATTGAAGTACTCTTCGGAAGAGTTTAACTTTTCCTTGAATTTCTTTATAGCTGTAGTTTCGTTTTGTTCCCCAGTTGCTCTTTTAGCGGCTTCCACAGCCTATGTAGGTAAAAAATGTAGGTGAAAGTCTGTAGTTGAGCCAAGTGCCCATTCAGATGGAGTCAATCTCGGTTTCCTCAGCACGAAGTGACCAGGAGTATCTTTACTTTCCCCTTGGATGGGTAACTCCCAAACAATAGATCAGGCTTACCCGACAATTCACGGGTACCCATTTATACTCAAGGGTGTATTCTACAACCCAGACCTATCGACCGGGAGTCCAGTGCACCAACCCCAGGTCCCCGCGTCTCCCGACACACAGGTAGTGTAGAACCAGTGAGGCTGAATCAGCGAGAAAGTAAACAAAAGTTCTTTTAGGACGCTCTATCAATACCGACTTATTGCAAAATCCTTACGTCTTTACTAACCACTCACATACATCGTGTCGCAAGCATTATTTAAGGCTTTAACTTTGGCCAGTTTTCGGATCGCTTATGTTCAAAAAAAGATAAGTTAACAGCAGAAAAAAAATTAAGGAAGGAAGCAAATTCCGCTACCACTCGCAAAACCGAACTGTGCATTAGTTATAGGATATTTAGTCTCACTGCAATGAAGGTGTAATAATAATAATAATAATAATAATAATAACTTAATATTTATATTGCGCAAATTAACATGTGAATATGATCAAATGCGCATCACAACACTTTTCGGGGGACTTTGACCGGACTGCATCAGCAGTTTACAAACAATCGAAGGAAACTTATTTGAAGATGCCCCCTCCCCCCAATTCCCAGTAAACAGGCCAGACCACATCACAGTAATCTCATGAGTGCGTTGCCTAACCAAATTAACTAATTAATAGATGCAGGAGACGGGACTTACGGTTTATTCGTCCTTATCCGAGAAGACTAGAATGTCTATCCATTTCTTGATATTATAGAAAGGTAGCCCCTTCTCCTCAGTTATTTTAAGACCTTTAGTGTTGGTCCGGCCGGGGCTCGAACCATCGACCTCGACCTCCCGCACAACAGTCCAGCGCTCTAACCAATTGAGCTAACCGGGTGGCGGTTAGGTGTGTAACGTTATTCTGTATTTCTATCATTCGAAATCACGCACTCACTCCAAATATATATTTGCGAATCACCTATCGTGAAACTCTGTATTAAGAGAAGGAAAGTCTTGCTGGGAACTGGGCAGATCAATTCCATCAATGAATGAATCGAAGCCATTTATCCTATGACAATTCTAAACAAAGTATGAAAAGCTCTCAAAGAACCCTCCAAAAGAGTCCTATTCATCGATACATTGATTTCAAGTCTGCGAAATACATACCAAGGGGTACAGCTTATTTAACTGCTCCCATCCCAGTCTGTGCACATCCATCGGTGTCATATCATTGGTCGTGAAATATGGTAAGATCTTAGCGTAGGCTTTGGAACCGTTCAGCTTGACACCGTCCGATAGTTCTGGTTTTGTTCGCCAAGATGTATTTTCCTTTCCATCGTACCAAACGTAAGCTAAAGGTAGAGAGGCCAAACCGCTGGACACGTTACTTGGAACGCAGTAGCGGTAATGTTCGTACTCAAGATACCTACAAGACAGTAATTTGTACATAAAGGAAAAGCATGCTCCAGAAACCATAAAGCTTGATCTGTAACATTAAAAAGTGTCCATAAAAGCCACCCCATCTCACCTCGTATAGTGCCGATTAGAATTCAAAACTGAAAAATTAGGTTCACTGGTTTTCTTTTGGGTTACAGGCTCATAAAGCTATTACTGAGAATGTTTCTGGGAGACTGTTACGTCAAGATAATTTGTTCTCATCTACTCAGTCCTTAAATAAATGTGACTTGGCCATCGTTGACAGTTTTGCTAGCTTTAAAAAACTCATTACAGTGGCCAGTTACATACTTTATCAACTCAGTTGATAAAAACGAACTTTCTTGTAATATGAATAAAGGCTGATAATTTCTAAAGAAACTGTTTGGGGCTGCGTGGGTGGGGGTAACGAAATAATTTGGATATATCAACAAAGTTGAAATGATTAAGAATTCCATTCCTTTTTCTCAGTTTCTAAGACTTCGTCGTTTGTAGTGACGACTCTGATTTCCACCACAAATCAGAGTCAATTTCAGGTGCCAGTTTTTCGATAAACGTGGTTACCCTGTTTCTGTCGTTCAAGCGGGTTACCACCGCGCCCAACTTATTGATCGACATTCAGCACTACAAATGTCACAAAAGGAAGATTCCGACCGCATTCCATTCACTCTCACGTTTCACCCTCACAACCACTCAGTTAAATCCATCATTCTTAAAAACTTTAAACTACTTCAAAACGATCCAGAGACAAGCACTATCTTTTCGCAGCCTCCGCTCATTTCATTCAAACACGACAAAAACATAGGCAATTTTCTGGTCAGAAGTTCTTTTCAGACTAATGACCAACCAGGCACTTTTAAATGCGCTCGTGCACGATGCAAAACGTTTCCTTTCATTCACAACACTGATAAAATATCGGCACCCAAACGATCCATTAAGATCACCGATCACTTCACGTGCATCTCCGCCAATGTAATCTATTGCATAACTTGCACTTATTGCAAAAAGATATACATCGGCGAAACAGGCAGAGGACTAGGTGACCAATTCCGAGAATACCTTCGCGATGTGGAAAGGAATGACAAGGACACATCGAAACCAGTCGCTAGACATTTTAATTTACCTAATCATTCTAAGCAACATATGGTAAACTGCGGTCTTTCCTTACACTTAGGTGGCACGGTAAGCCGTAAAACTCTTGAACAAAAGCTCATCTTTCAAACCGGCTGTCTAAATCACACAGGTCTCAACGAACGCTTTTCATTCCACCAATTTATTCTTGTTTTTCTCGTTGCCATGTTCCCACCAATAACGTAGCTCCATTTTCTGCCTTTAAAAGCACACACAACCCACCATTCCTCTATTCGCTCCGACGAAGGGCTAACGCTCGAAACGTCAGCTTTTGTAATCTTTGCGGTGGCCAATTTACCATTTCAACTTTGTTGATATATCCAAATTATTTCTTGTAATATCCTCACCCACGCAGCACCACATTTTTTTCTTCTTCCAACATAGCTTTATTTATACTGTTATGTTGCTTAGTTTGGTACACTTATATGCTTACAAAGGATTACCACATCTTGAAAACCAACTAGGCATTTTTAGTACCAGTTTTACGCAACAAAAGGTTTGGTTGTCTGGATTCGTCAAAGGAAAGATAAATAAAAATAATGTGACCATTTTAAACTCCATTGCTTTACCTCAATAGCTTAGTCATTGGCTTCCCGATGTACTCCACAAGGTATTGACTGACGGAGTCATTTACCGTCATTCCCTGATGGTTACCCCTCCACTGGGTTTTCATTTCGTCCGTGAGCTTGTCGTAATAATTCTCGCGAAGAGCTTGAGTAACGTATTTCTCATATAACACACCTGGAAATTAAGGTTGAAAAAATGGAATAAAAAAAGCTGTACGAATTCAACGAGTGTCAACAAACATCCGAAGCTGCATTGTTTTTATTTTAACTCGCTCTTTAATTATAGTCGGCAAAATTCGCGCGTTTCTCGGCAGATGGAAAGCTAAAACCAATCGCTTCTTCATTGTCAGCTTCGTTTTTCGCGCTTCAAGCAGGGTGACTGTTTTTGCTTCATCTCCCATTCTAGTACTATTGGTTTTGGTTTCAGACTCTCGAGAGGCCTAGGGTTTCAATGAATATATGCAATGATCCGTTTAAATATGCAGTGTTCATTTAATAGTTTCTGCTTACGATGCGGTCATTATTTTTTACCCTGGTGGAGTGTGAGAATTTTGGTTCTATCACGATTAAAATTACCCAATCCTCCCATAAGGCTTTCCAATATTTTTATGACCACCACCCATCCCCCCATCCCAATATTCTTTAGTTCCTTCTTTGTACTCCGTTGTAGAAGATTGAACTCTCATTTGCTCCCCCCCCCTAAAAACCACGTAATCCTCAAAAATCCTCCTTGCCCCCTCCCCCCAGTAAATGTCTGAGCTTAGAATCAAAGGATATCGATGAAGTCATCGTTTGCGGCCCCACAATTGAAGCTAATTAACTAAGGACTAAAATTTGGTCCAGTTGTATCTTTTAGCGAAAGAAACCAGGTCGATGTTTTCCTATAACCAAAAAAGGCGTTAGACCTTTTAGTCAAGATTACGCCTTTTTAAATTGCGTAAGACATCACTTACTTAAAACGTTTCACGAAATACATTTGATTACTTTTAATTAAGTAACCTAAGCGGTGACTACGTACGCAACAATAAACGCGGAATAACAAGCGAACTTGTGCGATAGTTTTTTTCTAAAGGTATCCTGTCATTAAAAATTACTTCGGTCTAAACAACGGAGTCCGAAATTGCGTTCCTTTCACATCTAGGCTGGATAACAGCAATCCTGTTTTTTTAGACTTGACATTTTAAAGATATGCAACACAAGCACACTCTTTAGAGTGCGTTGTGGGAGATAAATTGCTTTTTTTTTGTTTAGATAGTGTCAGATAGGGAGCTGAGAGATAAACGGTGCAACCAAGTTATGTTTTCTTTGTTGACTTATTGCTTGATCCAAATATTATGTTATAGTTTCGACTCTTTCGGTTAAGGGGAACTCATTTGTGCATGCGTCTTACAAAATTATGTTCAATTATACCCAAGAGCGAGGGCATGTTGTTTTCCTGCTTTTGTGGTGGCATTAAAGTTACATACATTCTGATGCGTTTATCGATGGCATAACTAATTATTATAGCCATTACAGCAAACAATGAGAAATATGAAGAAATTTCTGTCGTGTCAAGTAAACAGTGTTCTTTATCGGCGGAAAATACAACCAAATTAAATTTCTTATCATTAGTGGTTGAAACAAATCTAAGTTCTGAGTTTCACCTCGGGGGTGTTGCTAAAAAAGGACCAAAAGTATTTATTGAAGCCTTTCATGTCATTTTGACCGTAAGTGCGATCTTTGGCAAAATGAAAAGAAACAGAAAAGTATTTACTCAAGTCTGTCATATCATTTTGACCATAAGTGTGATCTTTGGAAAAACGAAACGAAACAGAAACTACGCTGAAGTATAAAATCAAGGCACCTGAAAATATTTAGTATTTAAGAAAGAATATTCCCCTACCCTATTATAAATAAAAAAATAAAAAACAAACCTGTTTCGTTTTTCAATGAGATCTGGAGGAACCTATTTCTGAGTGCATTCTTTCCCGCTTTACAAGCATCTTGACTGTAAACCATACCGTGCGACTTTCCCATTTTCAGATTTTCTATGTAAGTCAAAATTCCTTTCTTGTGAGTTTTCAGCTTCTCTTCTATAAGTTCAATATCCTTCAAGTTTTCTGGCTTTAAACTTTTCAGCAATCCTTGCAAATGCGCACCCAAGTTACAGATGACTTGTTGCCTCGGGTGGCAATAGAATGTTGGACCCATCATCCAGTCTCCGGCGTAGAAATTCATGTCAAAAGGCTGACCGAACACGGTCTTTAAAAAATGTTTGAGCTGTGATAGTGCTTTCCTTTCGCGAGGCTTGAGCTTTTTAGAGTCCACTTTTATTTCCTTGACCGTTTCGTAGAGGCTCCACGCTGCATCAGTGACGCTTTTTATGTAATTTGGCGTTGGATTGTAGGCTGTGTACTTCTTCTTGATTTCCTCTCGAGAGGCATCGGGGTCTTGTGGCAGCAAGAAAGGATGTTTCTCATAGTACGTCTTCTTGGCGCGCAAAATGATCTCATCCAGACGAATCCGCTTGGCCTCTCCAGAGTAGTCACAGAAGGTTGATGATGACGACGACGACGTTGGTTTGGATGTCGACGAATCCTCATTGTCCCCCTTCTTTTTAATTGCAAGAACAATTAAAACGATTCCAACGATCAAAGCGATGACAGCGATTGCAGCAAATAGGATAAGGAGTATCCTACCCTTTGACTTATCCCTTTTGAATGAAATGTCGCCGACCATGATTTCTATTTACCTTGACCTCCTAGGTAGCAAAACGATAACAGCATCTATTCAGTAGGGGGCCAGGGTAGAGTGGTGTTTACCTTTTCTGCTGTGTACGCTCACAAAAAAAATATTTACATAATTTGAATTTTTTGAGTGTTGAGTGATCGTGTAACTAGGCTGATTTTAACTTATGAGTTGTTTCGATTATAATTCATGGTCTAACCACTTGAAAACTTCTCAAATTTTAATATTCTTGGAAGGAGGCCACGAAAATTTGGAAGTTTCACGACCTCAAGCCACGAACTCCATTGATCTACGAATATTTGCTGGATCAAAATTATACCAAGTTATTCCATAATGAACACTCAGAAAGGTTATTAAAGTCCTAAATGTAATAACTTTCCTAAATGTAATAAAGTCCTAAATATAATAACATTTTGTCCCAAATGTAATAAGCCTCCCCGCAATAGTTTAACTGCGCTTGTGCATCCACATTGAGATGTTAAAGCGACAACTATTGCACACGAGAATCCTCTGACCAAAATTCATGGCCTATTGCGGGCTCGCTTGCTGATTTTAATCATTGGTTGATTTTTTTTGGCTTGAGATGTAGGCCGAAAAGCACTGGCTACAAACCTTCATACTGATGTACTTTTCCCATCAAATTGACAGATCTCAAAACAATAAAACGCTGACCAATCCGGCCATCTTGACCGAACAGGCTTGGTCAAGAGATTTTATATTTTTGGCAAGTCACTTGAATTTTTCATGGAGAAAAATGCGTTTTCTTTTCAATAATCACGGATAACGGAAAATAGTTTCTTTGTTTCACGTATCCCGACTGGCATATTATTCACAGTTCACGGCTTTTAACTTTTTACAATCACGAGTCACGGTAATTAAAAACAGCCGATCACGTTTCACTGAAAACCCCCATATTTACATTTAGAGATGGAGACGAGACGGACGAGACGAAATTATTTGTCTGACCATTTACTAATGCATATTTAAAAAAAAAAAAAACTGCTACTAGTTGTTGAAGAATCACAGCATGAAAACTGAAAATTCTTAACCTTGGGCTCCCAAAAGGTATTTATGAAAAGGCAAATCCGAATTTGCGGAAGCATTGTACGGTAGTTGTAAACGAACGATGAAGTTAATTTAATATTACTACAAGTGTTGATTACTCATTCAGAATGGAACAATCTACAACGAATGAAAGAATTGAAGCGGAAACTGTTTCCAAACAGAATTTAGTACATAAACTTCAACATTACCTATATTCAGGAATACAACTCGTTAATCGACAGCAGATAAAGGCTTATCCTTTGCATTTTCTTCTCAATATATAGGACGTTGTATCTTAATTTCTCCTTGGCGTCTTCCAAAATATACCACAAGGTGTGGTGAACTTTATGTTGGAAGAAATCCAAAGTGATGACGCAGGGATATTCGCAGCGGAAGGCTTTTGAAAAGTTCCACAGTATATGTACTTTCCTTAGTCTTAAAACTTATTAAATGGTCTTCAATGCAACCCTTTGCCTCTACTTTAGGTTAGACTTTGAGAGGTATTTCTTTTTGTGCGAAAAGGTCGGAAAATGTTTTTGTTTTCCGCGATGAGCGATCTTCTCAGTATTTGGTTAAGGTATTTGCTTTCTCTTTTCTGTTGTGACTGTATAAAATGGAACTTACAAGGGACATCGATAAGAAAGCGACAACTGTAGCGATCTTTCTTGTCCTGTCAATAAAGGTGCCATTTGCGCTCACAACGAACACTTATCGCAGACATTCATCTATATGGTGGTTAGTCTTGTTAGATACCTACCTTAAAATTCAAGTTTCTCGACTGCACACAGTGAGGCTGATTAGCGTAATGATTTATACATCGGAAATGCGCAATTATATCACGAAATTCATCCTGATAATTCCCGATGGGAGTGTCGCGACAAGCGTAAGTATCGTTTCCCACGGTTTTTTTTTTTTTTTAGAAAGGTTCAAGCACGTTTTCTGGTAATTTTAGTGCGCTTGGGTGCAGAAACGTGTATTGCGTGTTCAATCACCATATCCATTGCGAATAGCAGTTGCAGTCTTTTGCTTCCTGTCACGAATCACTAGTGGTAATTGCTGGCGAGCCGGCCTAGCGAGGCAGCAGCCTATTCTTTACAATAGCAAGAAAGAGCCAAAATTTGTCGGATGTAAGATAGGAGACATGCGCATTCGATTGCGTTTTTTATATCCGGGATACTTGTGATGACATCACGTAAAATGCACGTGGAAATATCGATCGATTTCGAGTTGAGATAAATAATTCGACCATTGAGTTACATTTGCCCATTGAGGCGAAAGAAAAGCTTGCAATCATAGATTCAAAATCTGCATAACTCGTTGAAGCTATACATTCAACAAAATGTGGATCGCCCGTTAGCTAACCATTCAACTGCAAACTCAAATGACTGGGCTAAACTGCAGAATAGCCTACAACTCATTTACAGGTCATTGAATAAGAATAGCCTCTATTGGGATAAAAGAAGATACAATTAGGGTTTGATGCAAATTCTGAGTCGATTTCATCCGTGGAGAGCACCCATTCGACCGTCGAGTCCAATTGTTTTTCCCCGGGGGGTACTCCCTTATAAGGGCTTACTGGGGACGTGCGGTCAGCCAGGGTATGTTTTTCGAGATTTTTGTCTTAAACAGGGTATCGAATTTATCATTTTTTATCTTAACCAGGGTATCGATTTATCAATTTTTGTCTTAAACAGGATATATTTTCTTGCAAGATAAACAGCAAAATTTTTACAAGCTCTAATTTTAATTAATTTTTAATTCCGTTGATTTTGGCATTGATACCAGGTACATTAAATGTCTTAAACAGGGTATCAAAAATCGGAATTCTGTCTTAACCAGGGTAGGAAAATCAGCGATATTTGTCTTAAACAGGGCCAGGCTATGAGGGGCCGCGCCGCTCCTCCCCACCCAGGAATATGTCGAGTACCCCCCCCCGTGTGTTTTTCAACCTTTGAGTCAAAAGGAAACTTCTCGAGCACAACACTAAGTTGTCGTTTGCTCAATGACGTTGAACATTCCTCAAAATGTGGTGGTCTTGCCGAAAGGCCGTTGGCGAGTTTTGAAGGACAAAAACTTGATTGTGATATTTACAGCATAGCGGAGCGCCGACAAGGGTTGATGAATGCGAATGACACCTTTATCCTCGCCTTTCCTTTTGTTCAGCTTTGATGAATACTTCCATGCACAACTTACAAGCAGGCAATTATTACTTCTAAAAATGTCACTGATTATTTTAAGTGAATCAAAGGGTTCATTTTATACTTTTGACCCTCATGCTAAAAACGGTGATGGTATGCCAAATTCACAGCAACTTTATTAAAATTTGGACATTTAGGTGAACTTGGAACATTCTTTTGTTCTTTAGCAAATGAACTGATATGTGAGTGTTTTGAAATTATCCCTCTGACGCCAGCACCCACTTGCACATTGAAACTACTAGTTAAAGATTGTAATCAGATTATATTCGCTCATTTTAATGTCGAAACAAGGTAAAACAGTTAACGCTAAGGAAATAAGTGTCGTGTACAAGTCTTGGATCACGAAGAAAATTATTCCTACTCTACTCGTCTCTAAGTAGCTAGAAGCTTCTATATAAAACAGGCAAGAAAAAATCATCAGATGCTTTCCTTTTCCAGAGTTGGTGCGAAAATATGGAATGGCATCCGCCCTGATTTTCGTAAGCTAAGGAAAGCACCTTTTAAACGTAAGCTAACTCACCTGCTTTTGAAAATTCTTGAAATTAAGGAGATGAATGTTGACTTGCGCTACCTTGACCTTTCTAGCTTATATTTGTATTTCAACTGACCAGCTTTCTCCTTGACCTGTTAAAAATCTTTTGAATTGTATGACTGGCTCAGCTTGAACATTTAACATAATTATCACTATTATTAGTTATTACTTATTTTTACTCGTTTATGTATTTATTTAATTGTTGTGTGTGTCTGTGTATGAGTGTGTGTGTGTGNCATCTTTTCGAGGGTCTAGGGACTTTAAGCAGTCAGGACGGCAACGCCACGGAAGACGTCGTTTAAAAAATGAGTTTCTACTTTTAGTTAGAATTTCGAAAATGGCTGCATGTGTTTACCGTCTCATAGGGCGCCAGACCTCAAACTCAACATAACGCATACAAGTAGCGTTGAGTTACAAATGTAAATCAAAATAATTTGCCGCCACGGTTTCGCTTCGCAGACGACGCAAATTTTGGTGATTTCACGTTGTTGTTTTGCAAAGGACGGCTCAGAAATGTACAAAGTTTTTAAACGCACGTGCTGGGGTATTGTTCTGCCAATTAGATCTATTGTTTTTCCACGTTCTCGTTGCCGTAGCCGTCGTGGTTTGCTTAAAGTCCCTAATCCTAACGCAGTGGAAGATTCCGCAAAAGGGAGACTAGAGTTGAAACTAGGCTTCAAATAATTAAATAGCATCATTAATATATAGATTTAGCCAAGGCTAAAAGCAGAGCTCCAGTTAGTTTATTTTCTAGCCTTCATTTTAATTAAAAATCCTTGGCGCTGCCCGTCGAAGAGTTTATTTAAGGAAATTTAAGGCCAGTTCGGGTGGGGAGGGAGAAGGGGGAAATTGGCGGGGTCTGGAGCCTAGGGACGATGTTCTCACAACTTGCAAAACGATCAACACGCATGTTAGTCAGCGGTATTTATAAGCAGCTGAAGAACTTCGTCGATGTTCCTGATGTTTTGAACGGAATTGGCGAGGATAGGGAAGGTATTCTTCCTCAAATAGACAGTATCAGTTCAAATTATATTCTATTGAGTGTGAATGATAATTTCAGAGCGAGGGAATTAGCCAAAATTGCAAGAAACGACGGTAAACGACTTCGAGTTAGGATAGATTTTACTTTTGGCTTAGTCACAAGTGAAGGATTTATTACTGAAGCAAACAGATTTCGCCCTAATAAGAATCAAGAATGATTTGTTAATTTTGAGAATCGAGAAAGAGAGCCAGCTGTGTGTATAACACAATAAACACACAAGAGAGTCGTTTACATTTTTTTGTTTGTTTTGACTGTCTTCTACCGCTTTTTGCGATTTCGTCGCATACATTGTCCAAAAGTACGCTAAAACTTGCTTTGATTCAACATGAGATTTACTGTTTTAGCCGTTATGGTTTTAGCATTACTAACATTTATGTGGGATAGGTCTGTGTCAAACGTTGGGCATGTGCGAGTGGATCAGTCTGGCCAGCCGTGCACAAAATTCCACGCGCAAAATTTTAATCAATTAAAATACAACTTCCTATATATTGAGAAGAAAATACAAAGAAAACGCCTTTATCTGCTGTCGATTAACGAGTTGTATACCTGAATATAGGAAATGTTGAAGTTTATGTAAATTCTATTTGGAAACAGTTTCTGCCTCAGTTCTTTCATTCATCGTAGATTGTTCCAGTCTCAAGTTAAATCAGTGTGGCAAACGAGAGACTTAACTTTGAATGGTCGCACAATGTTAGTTAAGGCCCTAGGCATATCCAAGATAGTTTATGCGGCCTCAATGCTTAGTATTCCTGAAGCGGTTATTAAAACAGTGCAAGATAGAATTTTCAAGTTCTTGTGGAAAAATAAAAAAGATAAAGTAAAAAGAGCAGCAATATATCAGTTATTCTCTCATGGTGGTGTGAACTTCCCAACTGTCCACACTGTGGTAAAAATCACTACGCTTGAGCTGGTTAGGCAGGTTCAGCCTGGCCAGCTATTCCTAATAGTTATTTTAATAAATACGGAGGATTATCTTTCCTATTGAAATGTTACTACAACTCTAAGTACTTTGACAAGAAAATGCCCCTTTTTTATAGCAAAATGTTAGACTATTTCAAGGAATTACGCAGTGGTTATCCTGATGTTTACAATAGTGAATTTATTCTTTGGAACAATAAAGAAATTACAATAGAGAGCAAATCTATTTTCTGGAAATATTTGTTTGAAAAAGGAATTTATTTCGTACAGGATTTATTGAATAAAGACAGCGGTAAGTTCTTATCTCTAGAAAATTTTCAAAGGAAATATAATGTTGAACTAAACTATTTAAAATATTTTCAACTTATTGCTGCAATCCCAAATTATTTGGAGAGAAAAGCACAGGCAACTGCTATAACAAACAGAAGTATACTAAAGGAATGAGATATTTTTTTATCTGTCTAAAAACAAAGTTATCTCTTTAAGTAAATGTAGATGTAAAGATTACTACAAACTACTTCAGGAAAAGGTTAGGACCGGACCCTACCCCTGTTGAAAGATGGTCGAGACGTTTTGTGGACTTTGACGCTAGTTGGAAAGAGTACTTACACAAAACTTACAAAATGACGAGTGACAAAAAGTTAAGAGAATTTGGTTAGAAGGCTTTCCACAGAATATTAGTCACTAATAAGGAACTCAAGCAATTTAAAATCAGAAATGATGACTTACGCTTTCAATGTAAAAGTCCTGATTCATTAGAACACACCTTCTTGAAGTGCCCATGAGTATTCAATTCTATCAAGAAATCCTATCGTGGTTCAATACTTTGAATAACACCCACGTAAGTTTTCTTTGTTGACCAAATTTTACTTCAGAATTACCCCCTCCTGCTATTAGCGATAACCCACGACGCTGACTGGATTTGCTTATCCTATTGACAAAAAGGTACATATATAGTTGTAAAAATAATGAGAAAAATCTTAATAAGTTACATTTTGTAAATAAGATAAAAATACAATGGAAACTTGAAAATTTAATTTAAGGAAGTTAAATACAAATATTGTCAACAAACCCCTTCGTGTGTGTGTTTTTTTTTTGTTCATATCATGTGTAATTGCGAAATAATATTAACAATTATGGTGTAAGTAACCAGTATTATAAATAGCGTAAGTAATGTATGTAAATAGCCGTAAGTGATATAGTGTATTGTTCTTAGTGCAGTTAAGCAGTATTGTAAGTAATGTGTTGTGTTACAGTACTAACGTACCGTCGACTACTGTAAAAGTTTATAAAATCAAATTAATTTATTTATTTAAAAAAAAAAATTGTTCCAGTCTGAATGGGTAAACAACATTTGTGGTAATATTAAATTAACTACATCGTTCGTTTACAACTGCTACAATGCTTCCGCAAATTCGGATTTGTCTTTTCATAAATTCCTTTTGGGAGCCCAAGGTTAAGAATTTTCAGTTTTCATGCTATGATTCGTCAACAACTAGTGGCAGCTTTTTTTTTTTTTCAAATCTACATTAGTAAATGGTCAGACAAATAATTTCGTCTCGTCCGTCTCGTCTCCATCTCTAATGTAAATATGGGGGTTTTCCATGAAACGTGATCGGCTGTTTTTATTTGCCGTAACTCGTGATTGTAAAAAGTTAAAAGCTGTGAACTGTAAACGATATGCCAGTCGTGATACGTGAAACAAAGAAACTATTTTCCGTTGTTCATGATTACTGAAAAGAAAACGCATTTTTCTCCTGAAAAAATCAAGTGACTTGCCGAAAATATAAAATCTCTTGACCAAGCCTTTTCGGTCAAGATGGCCGGATTGGTCAGCGTTCTATTGATTTGAGATCTGTCAGTTTGATGGGAAAAGCACATCAGTATGAAGGTTTGTAGCCAATGCTTCTCGGTCTACATCTCAAGCGAAAAAAGAAAAAAACCCTGATTAAATTCAGCAAGCGAGCCCGCAATAGGCCATGAATTTTGGTCGGAGGATTCTCTGGTGCAACAGTTGTCGGTTTAACTATTGCATTGGAGGCTTATTACATTTAGGACCAAATGTTATTACATTTAGGAGTTTACTACATGTAGGAAAGTTATTATATTTAGGACTTCAACATAGGCTGTCATTCGTATCATGTTTTATTTTCTTTTGTGTTACAAAATAAAAGATAGCGGTTACAGAAATCATTGCACAGGGCAAAGATCTACTAAGAGCTGCTATGTGAGGGTTCTTTACCCTCTTTGTAACTAAACTTAGATCAAAATGTTATTTTTCAAGCCGTTTTGCTTGGCTTTTAACAATAATTTGGCAGAGGCTCAAAAGCTCTCAAAAGAAAAAAAAATGCCCTAACTGATTATCCGCCGGAATTAAAAGTTATCAATCGGTTAATCCGTTACTTGCTCGAAATCATTTCAAAAAAATCCTGGGAGCAAACAGTAGTACACTATATGTAATGCGGATAGATTCGAAGTGTTTTTTCCCAGTGGAATCCTGACTGTTCGTTGTCCTTTAACTTGTCCGTGCTTTTCTTTGGTGGATTAAGGAGGACGTCACAGCCTTCCTTTCCTTTGTCCTTGATACAGGCCACATACTTTTTCACGTGATCAGATAAGTAAGCTAGGGGAGATGATCCCTGGGACAATACCTAAAAATATGAAATGAAGATTTCGATCCCTTTGACGAAGAGATATTGTTCATTAAGCAGAAAGAGACACTCAGGTTTCATCCGAGTTTAAGAACCCACCCGATAAGCCACTATCTTCTCCGTAAGGTACCCCCTCCGCCTTGCAACAAAAGACCCAAAGGCCTAAAATGCAGTTCGAAGTTCTACTCGATAGTGCAACTAAATAACTTGGGTGAGGGTCCGAAAGCTTTGCAGTGCGTAGCATTTAGCTCCTTTTTAATGTTAGCGGAATATTTCATTTGCTAAAGATATATTTGAGTCATAAGAGACAGGAAGAAGGCAGAGAAATCACCTGATAATGAAAATCACGCAGGCTGAAATTATCTCTCAGCTCATCTTTGCAATAGTTCCTAAGTCGTGTAATCTCCAACTGACCGATCATGTAAGCGGTCGCTTGTCCTGGGTCGCTCTGGTACCGAGTCACCTAATAAGGTCATAGAAGGGTCAATAAGATAAAAAAGAGAGTAACTGGTTCCGAGTGAATTCGATTTGGAAGGAGTATTAGCGGACCGTGGGGGACTGAGTAGGTGGAGGGATTTTTCAACCGTGATATCTATCTCATTTGGTGTACCACGGCCGTGAAAATGATCTTAGCTGGAGCTGTTGCCAGTTTGTTATATGCTTTAAGCTTTAAATTGGAAGATTACTTGGTCTTGTGGTAAGTGCACTAACTTCGGACTTAAAGGCCCTGGTTTGGGTTCGACTTCGTTTTCTTAGGAAAGTCACCTCACCCTCTGGATTCGCTTCCCCGTCAAGGAATGTAAAACTTTTCCTGCAAACTAATCAGTTACTGGGGGTTATCTTTAGCATGTCAAATAATACTTTGAAAGCAGTTATACAGGACAGTCAGAAGCCGGAAATTCATAGCGCTTGCTAGAACCCCCCAAAACGTTAGATGATTTGAATTCAAAGTTTGACCAGTTGAATTCAGAGTATGAATGAATACCAGCAAATCACTAAAATCATAATTAGCCAACAACAATAGGACGAAAACTGATGCTTTGGTGTACCTCTTTCTTTGCTACGTCCGTGTCGTCCCATGCATATTTACTGAAGTATTCCAGGGCTTTGTCGCGAGACAATCCAACATAGTGTAAACCAGTGTCCACAATCAGCCGAAGAGCTCTCCACACCTAAAATTTGCATTAATTGAAAAGTGCAGTGAAATTGGGCAGAAGAGAAGCTATATAAGCAGAGGATGTATCGTGATGGAGCACAGCAACTGAATTATCTAGTGAGACTGAATGGGACAGAAAGATAGAGTTGCTGAAATCGAAGTACGATGTGTGAAGTCCTCCTTTATTTCTAGATGTTCCAACTGGATCAAAAGGCTGTACTTTCTTACCTGCCACTTAAGCATGCCATACTTCTGGAGTGGTTCGTTCTCGTACGTGTCCGTATCTTGAGCGATCAGCGGATTCTCAGCGTACAACGCCCACCCCTCCGTAAACGCAGTGTAGTAGGTGACACTATCAAGCCAGCTTATGACACCACCGCAACTGTCCTGGAAATGTTCTATGTTACCCTGAACCTTTGGAGCGAGAGAGCGGACGTCATTTCCAACGCATAATGGTTGCTCACAAATTACATAAAGAATTGAGAAATATCAGCAGAGAATAAAACGATTCCTGTCGTTTAATCTAAGAGGTTTCAGAATTAAAGATCCACCTTCCTTATTTTCTGTTCGATGTTTTTTTTAGGAAGTATTTTTAATCTTGATAAGCTTGAATTCTTTATCTACCGCACTGTCAAGTTCTGGTATAATTTTAAACTGTGGCACCAAAATGTGTGATCTAATCGCTCGTGTTAATAGTCTATCTAATCATATGTGTACCAAGATGGGTGAAAACTGTTCGACTTCAGATAAATTTAAGATTTTTCAAAAAGTTAGAGATAAACAAATATATCAGCTTGTTCAATAGCTTTTCTTCTGGTTGAAATAAATGCAGTATGAAAGAGAAAAGTCCCATCCTGAATACGAAAAGGTCGAAGGAAGGGTCGATAAGTAACACTAAAACAGTCTGACTAAAGCTGCTTGACTTCTGATGCTGATTTGGGTACATCATTTCAAAAGATCAACCAATCAATTCTATGAAGCTTGCATTTACCTGTGTGTGATGACCAGGCCTCGCCTCGTGTGCATTGACGCTCCATTCACTGTACCGTGGACCCAGGTTTTCCAGGAAAAACGGAATTCTGTACTTTGCACTTCTGGTGCAATCTGGAGTGCTAGGGTAATAGCTCTGAGCTGCACTGGATGGGTTCAGATCCGGATATAAATCAACTGGACAAGTGGGTGTGGTAGCTTTGTTTCCATTGAAGTAGAAGAGTGGAATGGTCTTAGGCTCCATGAAGCTCATCGCCTTAATTTAATCAATATGGTACGAAATATAAAACAGTTTTTTTATTAACCAATTGCATTGATTGCGCTAGACTGACGTACCCTGTCGCACTTACTTACTGCTCTGACTGACGAAGACCAATACTCGAAACGTCGGCTATGAAACTCCAACACCAAATCGTCTTGGTAAACTCCCCCACTGAAGCAGCGCCACAGCATCTTTAGAAACATGCCCCCTTTATGACTCAATGACTGACAGATTGACTTACGGACTGATCGAATGACTTAATGACTGACTGAGTGGTTACTAACAGACTGACTTAATGACTGAGTTACTGCTAAGTGACTAGCTGACTGACTTACAGACTGACCTGACTGACTGACTTGCAGACTGACTGACTAAATAACTTCTAAATCCCACAGGTATCAACGAACGCTCTTCATTCCACTAATTTATTCTTGTTTTTCTCGTTGCCATGTTCCCACCAATAACGTAGCTCCATTTTCCACCTTTAAAACCACGCACAACCCACAATTCCTCTATTCGCTCCGACGAAGGGCTAACGCTCGAAACGTCAGCTTTTGTAATCGTTACGGTGGCCAATTTACCATTTCAACTTTGTTATTATATCCAAATTATTTCGTTACCCCCACCGACGCAGCCCCAAACAGTTTCTTTCGAAACTATCAGCCTTTATTCATTTGACTAACTAACTGATAGGATAATGGAATGATTGACTGATGTATACAAACTGACTAAACGACAGACCGCACTTACTAATTGATAGACTAATTAGCCTTCTGCGGAGAGACTGACTGACTTAAGAACTGATTTGCTACATGTCTGATGACTTACTTTTAAAGTACACTGAAGTTTTTTTTAGGTGACACGCTGACTACACTGGCGAATGAAGAAGGAACTACGACGAAGCCTTTATCAATAGCCACCCGCAAAATGATTTACTCTGATCTGTTTTTATTCTAATAGTTACGGAAGGAAACTTACCTTCCTTGCTTCAGCAAACCACAGCTGAATGGCAGCCCAACGTTTAGGGCAATATTTCTTAGCTCCTTCTGTGTCACTGCATTTTCTGTGTGCTTCTTTATCAGACTCGTTTTTAGGGATTGGTTCCGAGTTGAAATAAATCTCAGATGAGTTCAGAATTTCTCTGAGCTTCTTCACAGCGGTTTGGTTGTCTTCCTCTCCAGTGATTTCTTTTGCAACGTCAACCACCTACACATTTCAATTTTGATGGAAAAAGAAATAAAACATAAAGGAATGATAGGTGAATGACCTAATTAAGAGACGAAATAACAAAGGAATTGATAAATAAATAAATAAATAAATAAATAGATAAATGGACTAACACATCCTTAATGTTTTAAAACATTTTTGTGATGATCTAATTTCCAAAAGCAAACACCCATTTGGAATACTGAGTACTCGCCCTTCCACTCATTGCACATGTCAGTCTGAAAATGGTGAGGGTACGGTTATTTTGTACTAATAGCCAGGCAGGAGGAAAGGGGCTGAGCTGAGCTGAGCGTATAAACAACTCACCGTGGGATAGAGAATATCGAGCTGTTTTTTACCCAGTTCATGAACCTCCATGGGCGTCATTTTGTTTGTTGTGAAAAACGACATGATTTGAGAATAGGCCAGCTTTCCATCCAGCGGTTCACCAGTGGGTAGGTTTGGTTCCGTTGGCCAGGACTTGTTCTCTTTACCATCGATCCACACATATTTCAGGGGAAGGGAAGCTAAGCCGCTGGACACATTGCTCGGAACACAATGACGTGAGTGTTCCTCCTCAATGTATCTGAGACAAAGAAATTGCGAAAGTATTTCAAATTCTCTCAGCTCTGATCATTAAATGACTAAGGATGGCTATAGCAACTATTCAACTTTACTATTGGTCCAGACAACTTTCTCAACCATACAATCAAATGCAAATCCAGAACACCTAGAGCGACTTGTTATCTCACGAGGATTCCGCTCTTCAGCAGTTACCCTGTTTTTCTTTAGTTGAGCAGACTTGATGTTAGGCCTCTACTCATTCCCGAGCGAATTGTTGTAAGGCAATGCAACTCACTGCAAAGGTATTAGTCAAACTTTAAGAGGCTGGGCTTAACAGACAAAGGAAAGCGTTAAGGGAACTTTCTAGAGCTCTCTTGAAATGTGTTGTACGTTTTAACCTTAGGACTAGGATTTAGGGTTAACTAGCATATGCACTGGATTCTAGCGACACACTACTGTGAAGAGCTACCCTTGCGGCTATAGTACCTCAACATCTGTTCAAGTGGCTCCCCTAGATATTTCACCAAATATTCCTTCACAGTTTCGCTGACATTCTTTCCTTTGTGTGCTTCCTTCCATTTCTTGTTGGTCTCTTTTGTAATATCACTGTAATATAATGGATCCAGCAGGGGTTGAGCGAACCACGCTTTCAGCACGCCTTCAAAAAATGAATTGGAACCTATAATTCTTTCTCTAGAGTATAGCTCGATTAGGACACGAAGGAGGCATGAACGGTAGGTATCGGAATGTTAACACTACTGTTCGAGTACATGTTGCTATTGACTGATGCCTTTGCTGTCAATTTATGTTATATTAAGGACAATAAGTAGTCAGACAGCAACACTTGGGAAGACGTTTATTAAAAAACCAAATTTATATTTTTAGCTAGAATTTCGCGAATGGTTGGATCGTATCTTACGGCACCACACCTTAACTTTAGCACAAGGTTTGTGAGCAGATGAGTCGCGTTGAGTTTCAAGTGGAAACTTAAATAATTTGCCGTCCGGATTTCCGTTGTCGACCAAGCAAAATTTGGTCATTTCACGTTGCTATTTTGCAGAGGAAAGCCAAGAAATGTAGAAAGTTTCAAAACGCACGCGCTGAGCCATTGTTTTGCCACGTCCTCGTTGCGGTCGCCTTTAGTTCCCTATGAACTCGGTGCAGAAGATGTCGCATGCATTAGTTTTGTAAGAATTAAACGCTTGACTAGTGATTCACTCTGGAATGTACTGGACTGTTTCAAACGATAGAATATTCTGTGGAGCCAAATTTCATGGAGGTGCATTCGTACGTGAAGTGCTTTTGCATGTAATTGCTCTTTTGTTGATTTTTCTAACTTGACGCCACCTGACGAAAATTCTGCCTTTGCAGAATCGATTAGTTTGTGTCCATGAGAAAAACAAAACAAAGGCGGTCGAGACGTGTTTGAACACATGTCTCCATGTAATAGTTGTCCACATTAGTATTTAGTGATAAACGTATTAAACGAACGGATTTTACGAATTCACTCTTTTACTTGAATGGGCCGTCAAATGCTTTTTCAATTAATTTTCTTGGTTTGTTTACTTAAACTTAGAAGAGGATGAGGTATTCTCTCCTGTTAGAAGCTTCTTATGAAGTATTCATAAAGCTGTCACTTTCTTTTGGTAAAAAACAACGAAATTAAGATTTTGGCAATTAGTTAGCAATTTGTTGCTCCATCGCGGTTCGCGATATCTTGGCCTTGATCGGTTTGCCAAGTGCACGCGTAACGAAACTTTCCACAAAACCACCTGTGGGATGGGCGGTTTCAACACTTTATATCCTAAAATTAGTCCACTTATCTAGCACGTTCTTATTACTGATACAGTCTCTTTTCGTTGAAGGAATAAGAATTTGCCTCGTTGATTTCCATGCTTAAAAAAGCTCTTATTTCAAAAATTTTTTTCCTCAATACTTTTAAGGATCTATTCTCTTAGCATTTAAAATACTTAAGAAAAAGAAAGGCTAAGAGAACATATGAAAACCTGTTTAAATATTTGAACTCCATACCTGTCGCGTTGTGTACAGAAACATCCGAATATGCCAATTCGATGGAGTCTATACCAGCTTTGCACTCCTCTACACTTCTGACCATTCCTCTGCGAACTCCCATCTTCATGTTCTCGATATACTGTAAAATGCCAGCTTTGTGAGTTTTGAGCTTCTTTTCAATCAGTTCAACGTCGGATGCATTGTTAGGTTTGTGGTATGTACCCAGACCTCCATAGACGGCGTACCCATGATAGCAGATTGCCTGCCAGCAGAACAAATTCGGTCCCATCATCCAATCTCCAGCGTAATAATTTACATCGTATGGTTGACCGAATGTATGCTGCAGATAATGCTTCACTTGAGCAAGCGCCTTCCTTTCTCGGGATTTTAACGCGTCTTCATTGACCTTTTTCTCCTTGATTTCTTTCAGCAAAGCCAAAGACTTATCCGTACGAGTTTTGATGACAGCTGGTGTTGGATCGTAAGCAACATAATTTGCCTTGACTTTCTCAGCTTTTACGTCTGGGTCGTAATACATTTCGTAAGGATGAAGTTCATAATATGTTGCCTTAACTCGATGAAGGAATTCGTGGAGACCAATTCGTTTAGCTTCCTCTGATTCGTCGCATCCACTTGTCAGAGAATTCTCTCGTTTCTCGATGTTTGGATCGTGCGTTTTCTCATCCTTCTCTTTTACTGCAATTACGATCAGTACAATTCCCACCACGAGAAAGATTACTCCGACAGCCAGTGCCACTAGTGAAACGATTCTAATTTTAGAATCTTTGCCTTCGAATCTGATGTCTCTTTGGTCCGAAATGATAATTTCTGAACTTTTATTCAGCTCCATGATGCTAAGCTCTGAACAAGTTTTGAACGGAATCAGTTGAAGTGAAGAAGACTAAATTAACAGTCGCCCTTTTCAACAAGCCACTCCCCTAGAAACCAGTAATTGTGTGCCGGGCTCTAAGATGACATAATAACAAAGTTACAATTGATTCTGGCTAGAAATTTTGAATTATTATTTGCATAATCTAAAAGGTGATGAAAAGGGTTACCACCTATCGTCGGGAAAGTTAGCTTCAAAGCAACCTGCACTATGAAGAGGCACCAAGAATCTTCTTTTGTCCTTTCCCGGTTTTTTCTTTTTTTTTTTTTTTTTTTTTTCATCTCTATATAGCCTAACTTCCGCAACCAGTAACTACAGCTACTTCTGGTTTTACTGATATCGTTTTTCAAATGCATGCCTTGAGGCATTCTATCGGTAAGCATATTTGGGTTATGGACTGAGGGACCTTGGAAAGAAAATCTTTATGCCATGGAAGGTAAACCTCTACACTGAATCACTAATGATACTTGAAGAATCATATAGATACGTGATATTTTTTTTACAAAACTCTGTTGTTGGTCTTAGCCGCGGTAAGTAGACAAGCCTAAAAATAACCGTCGACGGAAGTTATATTGTTCGAGCGGCAAAACAACTCAAACATAAAGCTACAGTGTACGTCACCCTTGTACACAAGACCCACCTAAGGATCACAGAATAATGAGTCAAAACTAAACAATTATAGAAGAACTGACAACGAAGTACTCCACGCAGAAAATACAGTAATCGGAAAATCAGTCAAAACGGGCAAAAATCAGAAAAGTTGAAGTGCGGGTTAAGACTACGAGGGGATCTGTCACAATGACATATTCCTCACAAAAATAGGAACTTATCTGTCAAGCAAGCAATAACTAGTCACAATATGAGCGATAGGGTTACGGTATCCGAACTGTATTTAGCGTTGCGACGGCTGGATGGTTTTGCCTAGCGGATGGCAAGCTGATGTAACGTAGGATTTAAGCTAATAGTTAGATTAAGCACCACGAAAACGGTGAACGCTGAACGTCGGCTAGCCGTTTGTCGTTTGCCGTTCCGTCCGCCATGTTCGTCTGTTTAAGCTTCCCGACGTCACGGCAGAACAAATGTTCTCCGTCGCCATTCACTGCGACTAGAAATAGTGGATACAAAGAAGTAATGCATTTTCCGCTTGAATTTGAACTCTATTAGCTTTACAAGCAGTTCATATAGAAGTAAGATGATAAACGAAGCTTAGCTATAAAAGAAAGCGATCAAAATGTAGAAATAGTGGGTAAAAATGGGCTGCAAATACTCACGTTTTCGCGTTCCCTCCAAACGGGAAATATGTCCTCCTCGAGTAGAAACGGCGGCCGGCAAACGGCAAACGCGGAAAATGTCAGGTCACGTGACCCTCTCTGCCGTTCGCGGGAAAAAAATACGTGGTGCTTAATCTCTCTAATAAACGGTTGAGCGCAACGTCTGAGAAAAATTTTAAAGAGATAAACAGGGAGCTGAAGGCATTTGATGACGCAGTAAATGATAAAAATGGATTGCCTAGCACACACTAAGTAGCACTAGAGAGTTCTTTCCACCAAGGTTCAAATAATGATTATTAGGACTCAAGGAAAATTGAATTATTATTCAAATTAGCTTTCACCTGGTTAGTTTAATTAACTTTTACGTCATCATGATGGATGTCGTCTGGATTTTAAAGACTGCCTGTCGCTAAATGTCAGCAAGACACGCAAATGTGGTCAACACTATTTAACGGGCTATTTGTCAAGGTCATTCTGTAAAAAAAAAATAATAATAAGTGTAAAAAATGGTCCAAAGAAATTATGGATACATATTAATTGTTTAGCAGGTAAGGCGATAGGGTATGCGGTAGCTCGAGCTCTTCAGAACATTCATGCATGCTTAAATTTCAAGTCATCCTGAAATGTGTTTCTCTAAGTTTCTTGATGGCTGCTTTATACCCTTTAAACGGACGCAAAGTTTCATTTAGCCTACCTAACGTTAATCGGCTACGCAAACCATTCTGACGAATGAGCGAATACTTTTCATCGAAAGCCTGACGTCTTTGGAGTTTATGGAGTAGATCTCTAAAGGACAGTGCCAAGGTACTAATGTTTCTTTGCCCACAAGATAATTTGAGGACAGTGCCAAGGCACTAATGTTTCTTTGCTCACAAGATAATTTGAGGCGTCGAGCGAAGCGAGCTGGCGAGAGGTCTGGAGGGTTCTGGCACTAATAATGACGTCGCAACGTTTTGCTATCGCTCCAAGCTTTCTTGCGGGCGAAGAAACCCTGCTGGGAATAGACCTTTTACATGCCGCGCAGGGCATGGTCACTGGAGGTATGCGTCCGCCATCTTAAATATGACACATGGCTAAGTATTAATGTGCAATCGTGTTGTCCTTTGCTCTGAAGCCAAAAATGACAGCTAACACGGAAGAAACATGTAAAACTTTAACCCAAAACTGTTTAGGGAAGTTTATCAAGGAAAAATGTCAGATCAGAGGGCTCAGGCGTTCTTTGTGGAAGATTATGTACACGGTTTTTTTATCACATTTCATGAAGCTGAATGTTGTGTCATGAAAGGAAAATGCTATCGCTCCATGTCTAAGATATCAGGTAGGTTCCCATGAAGATTCTGGTTCCAGTAACTCATGTTTTCAGCGTGACACAAAACAAAAGTCATAAATTCTCTATAGCTGGATGCATTTCGAAAGCCGGAGTAAAAGTGAATGTCATCGTCACTCCAGTTCAAATCGTTTAAAGGAAAACGCCATACTATCGATCCTTGATTTTACTGATAAAAAGTTGGATTTCAAAACCTTTATTTCATCATCATTTTTTTTAAGTAATTCCGTCAAACGCTTAATCTCACGATCCTTCTCCTGGCAATGACTGCAGAGGGTTTTCTCCTCGTCTTTCCCTATTCCGCATGAACTTGTCCTTGACAATCGCCGATTGACTGGTGTTTTCGAGGGAAATACTGAGGGTACAGCATCGTCCTTGAGAACTTTAAGTTCACCAAGTGTTGTGCAGTAATCATCAGCCGTAAAATGAAGTGAACACACTCGAGTGTGGTCGGTTATAGTGAACAATTCCCCTTCATCACAACGTATTTTTACTTTCCGTTTCTTCTTTTTGGACTCGCATTTTAGAAAGCGATGGAAAGATAGTTCTTTTTCCCTTGATGACTTCGAATAGCAGAGAGGAACACAACAGTGGTTAACCATGGCCCACTAGCTTCACCTTTTCCTGTTTCAAGTTGGCGGACGCATACCTCCACTGACCAGGCCCCGCGTGGCATGTAAAAGGTCTATCAGCAGCAAGTGATCTTGACTTACATCACGAAAAAGAAAATCATGGGATCGAAGAGCTCGAAGTTAAAGAGATTTGTCTTTTGAGGTGTAACTATCCCCGTGCCAGGTGTACAATAACTCCAAGTTTAAATATCGTTTTCGTGCAGTGGATGACGAGCAGATCGAGTTTAAATCCCGAAAAAAACATTGCATTTAAATTCAGTTTGTTTATTGATTTCAACCCACAATTTCGATTACAAAGGACAATTTAATTGCGTAGAATACTGTACTTTGAGCTGTTTTTAAGCAGTTTGTATACCCACCGACTCAATACCCAATTAGCTCGAATAATTGGGAACAAAACGTTCCTTAATATGAAGACTGACTTGTTTAGAAAGCTTAAGCATGTTCGCATCAAACAAAAACAAAAATTCATCGATAGCTCATCTGTAATATATGACAGGCTTAATCATCTTTGACCAGCGACCTTGTGCCTTGGCTATTTTCTTTGCTTCACTTTTCTTTGGCGGGTTCATGATAACGTCACAACCTTCTTTGGCCTGATCTTTGACACAGGCCACATAATCTTTCACGTGATCCATCATGTAACCAAGAGGTGAAGATCCTTGTGAAAGAATCTAGAGAAAAGGGTTGCAATAATTTGATTAAACGCTTGAGCGTTAGAAAAGGCTTTAAATGGCATCCTTTGATCAAGTCAGTAAGAGGAATTATTACACGACTCGGGCAGTCAGAGGGCCAATAACTAAAATCAACCAATCAAAATGCTCTATTGCCGGTCAATATTCTCTCAGTATTGGACCGGGCACTGTCCCGAATGGTCCCGAATGATACCGCTATTATACGTGTCCCTTTGAACTTCAGTCGTACAATAAATCTCTTATTAACCAAGCATGCTCGGGATCGTACCGGAAGAATATCGGCCCTCGGTCTTTTTTGTACGGACCTCGCTGCGCTCGGTCCGTACTGTCAAGACCTTGGGCCGATATTCTCCCAGTACGGCCCTCGCGCTTGGTTAATAAGATATATGTATAGGGTAACAAGGATTGTAAAAAGAGACCTAGATGCTTTGGTCCTATTACTATGATATTCTCAATTTGAGAAAAATTGTTGCTTGTCATGTTGTTAAATTGTCACCTGACATATATTAGAGTCATCCGTTGATGTCCTGCGCCTCTTAATTGATCTCAGTATCCACTAAACAAGTTTTAATTACTGTTAAAATTAATTTCCGTTCTTACCTGGTAATGAAAGTCTCGCAGATCGAATTTATCTCCCAGTTCTTTCTCTGCATATTCTCTGGCCTCAAGAATCTTCCCTTGTCCAACCATGTAAGGAGTGGCCTGTCCAGGAATACTTTCGTACCGGACAGCCTGATGCGGACATTTAGAATTAAAATCTTCATTACAACAATTATGAAACTGGTAAAAACGACAGTTGCAGCTATCTAGGTTTTTACAGAAAATGGTTTAAAAAGATTCTAAATGAATTTTGCTCAGACAAACTTATTGGCTGTCCACAATGTTTCTTTTTACCTCACTCAGGGGGAAAGAAGAATTATCCCAGGCATAGTGTTTGAAATAGTCGATGACCTCATCTCTTTTCATACCAAAATGGTTCAAACCGGGATCCACGATCAATCGGATAGATCGCCACACCTTAAACATTGAAAATGTAATGATTAAGGTATGATAAGGACAATAAATCATAGCAAAAGAAGAAAGATTTAAGCCTGAGTCCAGAAACTCAAATTCAAATGTTTTACGTAACCATATCAGAAGGACTGAATTTGATATAAAGCAATAGAACTATATGTGTCCACTCCCCTTGTTAATGTTTCCTTACCAGCCACTTCAACATTCCATATTTCTGCATGGGCTCGTCGGCGTATGTGTCTGTATCTCTCCCAATCAGCGGATACTCAGCGTATATAGCCCATCCCTCTTTGAAGCCTGTGTAAGAGGTCAGACCATCAAGCCAGGAAATTGCACCACCACAGTTGTCAAGGAAATGCTCCAAGTGTCCTTGTACCTGTAAAAAATTAGATAAGGAACTCATCTGATTTAGATGAGCTCGGCTAACATCTCGTTCGAGTAGACATACCACTTTTCTCGAGGATAAAAGTCAATTAAAAGTCTATTTTGAAAGCTAATTTGTCTTGCACTGATTGAAATATATTTCTGATTAGAAAAAATAACCTCTCAAAACTAGCAGCGCCGAATTTCAAAATGTAGCAATTGCAAAATAAATTTTTTCGATAGCTTAAAGGATCTCCGTGACAAACTCTGTGCATTGTCTCTATCGAAGCAAAAACTTCCTCATTAGAATTGAACAGTACTCGGAGCTAAGATAGTTTTACAAATAATATAATTTACGTAGAAACCGAAGAAAATTCTAAACCTGCAAATGATGCCCTGGCATGGCTTCATGAGCATCGACACTCCATTCTTCGTACGTTGGGAACAAGGAGAAAAATGGAATTTTGAATTTTGCACTTTTTGAACAATTAGAGTCGCTGCTATGATAGCTCTGGAATGACACGGCTGGATTAAAGTTGGGCTGGACGTCGATTGGACAGATAGGCGTGGTTGCCTTATCTCCAGTAAAATGGAACATGGTTACAGTCTTTGGTGCAAGTAAACTTATGACCTGAAAATAGAGAGGATGATAAGCCTAAGCTGGATAAAATTTGCTAACAGCTCAGTTGTAAAGCAATACGATAAGCTTATTTTTATATCACTTTTTATCTTCCGGAACTTTATTGATGAGGGTGTGTTTCTGCTTCCGTCTTTGGCCTCATAACCCCAAGCACACCTGGCAAATGACTTCGAAACCTACCTTTCTTATTTCAGCCATCCATGCCTGCACGGCAGCCCAGCGTGTAGGGCAATGCTCTTTAGCTCCCTCGATATTACTGCATTTCTCCTCTGCTTGTTCATCCGATTCATTCTTAGGGATTGGTTTCGTGTTGAATCTAAACTTAGATGGATCATTTATCAGTTTTTTAAACTCCTGTTTCGCGGTATCGTAATTGGTTTTTTCAGTTACTTTCCTTGCAATTTCTAGAACCTGTGGATGGAAAGAAAAGGCTTTGTCTCAACCAACCTTTTAATCGAAAAGTAAATTTATTCAATACCATCTAACCTACCTTGCAGCCGTTCTGGGATGTTAGCCGTTTCCGGATATTGCAAAGCCTTCATCTACAAAGAACTTCTCCCCGAACTTAGATGGGATGGGGGAGGGAAAAGTGCATATCATTGAAAAAAAATAAAAACGTCTGTGAAGGGAACTTCATGGCTAACCAGCCTTCGATAAATCACTTTAAATATATAAGGGTAGGCTTATGAACAGCCGAACAAATATGCTGGAACGAAGCCAGCGGAAGAAAGCTCAGTCGCTGTTTAAAAAATAATTTACGACTTACCATTGGATAATAGAGATCGAGCAACTTTTTCCCGAGCTTTGTAACCTCCGTCGGGGTCATATCGTTCGTTGTGAAATACGACAAGATGCTGGTGTAAGCCAGCGATCCATTTAGAGGTTCACCAGTGGGCAGGTGCCGGTCTGTTGACGATGATGCGTTCTCTTTACCATCAACCCAAATATGCTTGAGTGGTAGAGTGGCCCAACCGCTGGAAACGTTACCTGGGACGCAGTGGCGAATATGTTCATCCTTGACGTATCTAAAGACGAGTAATACATTATAATAATAATAATAATAATAATAATAATAATAATAATAATAACTTGTATTTACATAGCGCTCATATCTTAAACTCATGGCGCTTTACAACACTTTACGGGGGACTTTACCAGACTGCCAAGCAGTTTACAACCAAATAAAGGCGAATATAACAGATGCCCCCTTCACCCAATTCCCGGTATAAACCAGGCCATACCACATCAAAGTGATCTCGTGAAGTGGGTTCTTTAACGTTCCCTGCCTAAAAAAATTAACTAATTAATAGATGCAGGAGACGGGACCTCCATTTATTCGTTCCTATCCGAGAAGACTAGAATATCTAACCATTTCTTGATCGATGTTATAGAAAGGTAGCATATTCTTCTCAATTATTTTAAGACCCTGAGCGTGTTGGTCTGGCCGGGGCTCGAGCCCTCGACCTCCCGCACAACAGTCTGGCGCTTAACCAACTAAGCTAACCGGGAGGCATGGGCATTGGCATTGGCATTAGCATTGGCATTGGCATTGTTGAATCAGTGTTCATTTTCTCGCACAAGTAAACAACAGACTGGAATGAAAGCCCTTGCCCAGAGCTCTAGTGTGAAACTAATGTCAAGCTAAGTTTAGCACACTCTACTCTATGTTTTGATAAGATCTCAACTGTGGTGGATAGCAGTTTATATAATAACCGGATGTTGGCATCTTCAAATAAGTTTCCTTCGATTGTTTGTAAACTGCTGATGCAGTCGGGCCAAAGTCCGCAGAAAAGTGTCGTGATGCGAATTTGATCGTATCCACATGTTAATTTGCGCAATATAAATATTAAATTATTATTATTATTATTATTATTATTATTATTATATGAAAAACCACGTCTCGAGTGCAGATGACTGACAGTGCAACATGTATCACCTAACCTCAACAATCGAATTAGCGGTTTCCCCAAGTAGTTCACCAAGTAACCTTTTACAGAGACACTGACGTTCTTCCCATTGTGGTTCGCCTTCCACTGGTCATCAGTCTCTTCTGTGATACCTCTATAGTAATCAACATCTAACAGAGGTTGAACGAACGATTCTTGTAGTATACCTGGAAGGAAAAAGATGCGTTAAAATCTGCATGGGGGTTTCAAATTGCAGGATCCAGATCAAGTAATCAATAGCGAGGAATCTTTTAAATCATACATTTACTCCTTGTTTGAAAAGACAAAAGCACTAATTTAAATTTTCTCCGTGAGAACAAGTTTAACAAGATGAGCTATCAAGATGAATTAGGAGATAATCATTACGGGCCTCGCCCAGAAAAGTCACGCAATCGTTTGCTTGGGTATTTCTGGAGCGGAAACCTCAGTACTTGTCTTTAAAATGTGTCCGCCATATTGTACAGGGTTAGCTAGCCAATCTTTACTTTCCTTGATCGGATAAAGTGTCCTATTCGTGAATTGTGTTAATTTTTGCATCAAACACTGACAAAATCGCAGTTTTTAACTACACAAGAGGTCTGAAAAAGTGATTAAAAACAAAAATTTTTCTTTCAGGATAAATCAATGAGGATATTCTGCACTATGGTTCTGATATTTGATGACATCCTAAGGCTTCGTAAAATTCTCTTCATCCCAGACCGTACCAAAATATAGGTTGGAAACATTTCGTCAGCTCAGAGCTTGAAATATGATTCGGTAGGATTAATATTACTTGTCTGAGCAGGAATGGCGTTATCTTGAAAGTTAAGATTACGGATCTACTAGATGTAGATCCTCCCGAGCTGTCATTTAACCTTCACGGGTGGGGCATTTGAAACGTTGAGGGGAGGGGGGGCCTATCATCTTTCAACCAGCCATGCGCTTACCCCTACTCAAATCCCCTACTTAATTTTCCGAAATACACTTTGCGTTGTTCGTTGGCACAAGTTAACCCCTTTGAAATCTTTACAGTTTCAAGTGTGTCCGTATTCGATTTCTTGATCTACTTTTATTTTTTTCCGACAGTGTCAAATCTTTCAGCTTAGCATTTGATCGGGTTTCCACAGACAAGATTGACTCATCTAGTTCAATGGGGAACTACTACATTTGATAAGCTTCTCGTACTCAGGTTGGATCTGCTTAAAGAAGTTTTACAACATATTATTTCGCCAAGCGCGATGCGGATAAAAGGATCTCTGAAAAGTTCACGAGATTGAATATAAACTGGCCCAACCCTAACCCTAACGATGTTTAGGCACCAAAACGCGGGGGAGCTGAGTGCCCCCAAAATTTTTGTTAAGGATGGGGCTACTGCCCCCTGTGCCCCTTGCTCTGCCGCATACGACCTTCAAAAATGGAAAGCTCATGTGTTGAAGAGCGCAGAATACACCAAATAACTGTAATTAGCACGGGGGGTGACAACTCTAACAAACAGTGTTTCTGGACAAAGCCAAAATTGTTCCGGGAATCTGAAGATTTCTCCGAGAATTGGGACACTTAGAAATTTTACCAGGAAACACGCGATAATTCCGGGACATTGCAGAAAAAAATCGGGACATCGAAGGAAATTTTATTTCACGTTTTTATTTACGTTAAACTCGGTAAGTTTGGCATGAAATCTTCTGTAAATGAAAACATTCAAACAGCGAGTGCAGCGCCGCGGCTTGTGGTTTACACAAACNTAATACCGCAGTTCAAAATATATGAACTTCATATATTCATTGTATCTGATTTATCATCACGGGTTTATTACGAATCAACTTAACGGCCTGCTCCCAGTTGGCTTGTTAGCTCAATTGGTAGAGCGCTGCACTAGTATCGCAGAGGTCAGTGGTTCGAATCTCGTACAGGCCTGATTTTTTTCAGGTCTGATTTTCGCTATTGCATAAATAGCGCTATCTACTGCGAAGGATCGTGCATCATACGTAGATAAACTTGTGTCGTACAAAATAACTTTTGACGTACAGTGAGTGGTCAGTAGTTTTAGGCTTATGAAGAAGTTGTCATTCTAAGTTATGCAAACTGTCAGCACATGTACTAACCGGTTCTCAGTACGCACCCCCCATAAGAATAAAGGAGATTGAACTTATATTAGAAAGTTAACAGCAATATTAAGGACAGGCTATTAAAACGAAGTTTAGGCGAGGTTTATTAAAACCTCGGGCTAACTAGACTTCAATCTGCTCATAGTTAATAGAGGGGACTATAGGTTAACTATGATCTGCTCAACCCAAACAGGTAGGCGTTCTTCACGATAATTAAACTGTAAAGCCAAGCAGGCTAATTTTAATTAAACATATCTTTCCTTAGGTAACATGATTATAATTAGACTAATTTAAATTAAACATATCTTTCCTTAGGTAACATGATTATAATTAGAATCTCATGGTCCATTACCATCCTTAAACCACGGTCTAAGTTTTATTTCGATTAAATGATGGGCCCTAGCTAAGTCACGCCACGCCAAAACGAAAAAAGACCGAGCCAGGCCTGAGACACATTCTCGTACCCAGACCAAACGGACGCTGAGTTTGAATGTCAAAAGTGAATGTCGAATGTGAATGTTGAAAGTGAATGTCGAAAATGAATGTCGAAAGTGAATGTCGAAAGTGAATGTCGAAAGTGAATGTCGAAAGTGAATGTCGAAAGTGAATGTCGAAAGTGAATGTCGAAAGTGAATGTCGAAAGTGAATGTCGAAAGTGAATGTCGAAAGTGAATGTCGAAAGTGAATGTCGAAAGTGAATGTCGAAAGTGAATGTCGAAAGTGAATGTCGAAAGTGAATGTCGAATGTGAATGTCGAAAGTGAATGTCGAAAGTGAATGTTGAAAGTGAATGTCGAAAGTGAATGTCGAAAGTG